AGGCCATTAATAGCAACATCTTGATTTCATTAGGAGGTGAGCTGAAGCCATCCGAAACAGGCAGGGAACTAGGTGATAATAAGAGAAAATGTGTTTCTCAGACAAAGGAGCAGACAGCAGGGGACAGCGGCTCAGGGAAGGAGGCGACACGATCAGGGAGAGTGTGCAGAGAGGACGTGCTAATTCCTCTGAATCGTACCAGCAGAAGCTCAGGGCTGTTTGAACTCCTTGGCAGCGGCAGCCTGGTCTCAAAGTACATGGTGAGGAATGAGAACAAAAGAAAAGTTCACTCCGAGTTCCTCTTGTCAAAGCAGGGGAAATTGCTTTGAGGCCAGCACTAGGAGATGCTAATGGTAGAAAGCGAACCAAGTAAAAGAAGAAAAAAAAATGTGCCAGGTCACCGGGAGCCTGCCTGGCGCAGAGCGAGATAAAACCACCACTGACAAGACTATTCAGCCCAGGTCCCACCACGCACTGCTGTGCGAGCCACTTCTAACCTGTGCTGAGCTGGCTACAATCCGAAGAGAAGGCCTCAGCTGCTCCAAGAATATTCGTTCACTTGACAAACCATAATTGAGCTCTCACTGTGTCAGCCAGGACTATTGCTGTTAATGCTGGAAGGTGCACTAGGAGCCCTTATGTCCTGGTACCAACCGGTTTTGTGAATCAGAAAGGATCACTGGAAAGTGAGTACTGGGAAATTGCTGCTGACCCTGGAAGGGCACAGCTCAGCAGAAAACGTGGGAAGTGTAGGAGAGCCAAAGTGGTAACTGGAAAGAAACAAGTGTCTGTTTAAAATCCTGGAGAGGAAAGACCCACTGACTGCTGGTCTTCCTTCTCCGGGCCTAGCAGTTCTCATCCATAAAATCGGCTGAACAGGATGATGCGTTCTTTCCCTTTGAGCAGATTCAAAATGGTGCTGGGAGTTTTCTCGGGATCACGCCATGGGGTTGGGACAACGTGGGGATCTCTTAATGTGGGAATCTGTAATCAGCTGCAGGAGCTAGAAACCAGAGGTGCTTTTTCTGTATGTTTTGACGAGTCACCGAGAAAATTTAAAATGTTAAAGATGTCACAAATCTTTCGCTCCAAATTCTAAACCTGAGGCTGCCAACTCGGAGCACCTGGGTTTTGTTTGTCTAGCAGAATATTTTTTAAAACTTGAACCAGCGTTTACAAATTGTGAGATTTCTGAAAATCCAGATTTGGGGCTTCGCTGAGAGACTGGAAGATCTGATGGCACTGGCCCCACATCAGCAAGTGGTGAGAGGTGGGTAGCAGCTGTCCCATTTAGGTGAGGCACCTGCTCTCCAGTTTGACCATCTCTACCACTCATGGGGACCACATAATTTGTCATCCAAACTAAGGCACTTTTGAAAGTAAAAGAGGGTGCTGTTTGTAATTATGCCTGGATGCACAGACACAAACGAGGGCTATTATGGGCAATGAGGATGTATGGTTACCCTAATTCCCGTTGCTTACACTGGGCTTGCTTTTCTTTTTTGTCCACTGTTACTTGGGTTATGTGGTCATAAGTCAGGGACTCCCCTGAGGAAAATAGGGAGAGAAAAGGTATAAAGTGAGGATGAGACCTGAACGTTGAAAAACAGGGAAAGAAATGAAAAAGAATATTCAAATGAATGCCAATTACACAAAACCTTCAGGTGGAGGCAGAGCCTTGCTGGTGGCTGGCTCAGCATGTGAGTTTGACCTTCCAGGCTCCCTGCCCTCCACAGCACTGTCAGTTTTAATAAGCTGTAATCCCATAGCTACGAGCGAGACTAATCAAACTGCAGAGAGCAGCCTGTTCCTAATCAGGAAGGCACAGGATCATCATTTAACTCTGTGGTTTCTCAGTGAGCTCCAAGCTGCCTTGACAGGAAAAAAAAAAAAAATCCTGCATAAGATAGTTGCTTACACTCTCTAATCTTGACCTTTTGATGGTCTTTGTTTGAAATTTTTATTAAAATGCTTTAATTACCCAAGTATTTGGCTTAAAAAAATATTTTAGAAGAATCTTTTTCCTTTTATTCCCAAAGAAGAATAGAGTAGCGCTCCCCCAGGGCACTTTAGGACACCTCAGACTGCCATTGATTCCCTGAGTCCACTTGAACTGACTGCAGACCCCAACCCTTTCAACACCACTCAGGGTGTGATTACAGTCCCCAGATTGGGGGCGGGAGGAAGTGGGGGACGTGGAATGGCAACTCACGTTGAGCACCTACAGGGGCCAGCATGGGCCCTTCCCCATGGCAGGAGTGGGAGCCAGGCCACGCCACAGTGAGGCTCCAGAAGCCCCCAACACCTCGGGGCCATATGGCCCTTCTAGTTCTCCCCCTAGAGGAACTAGGGGCTACTTCAACCCAGGGGCAAGTCACAAGAAGTTACTTAGCATAAGTTACTTATGCTTTAACTGCAGAGTGTTAGATGCGGCTAAAGTTTAACTTGGAAGCTGACTAGTGGTAGGCCCTTAGGCAAACTACTCAACCTTCCAGAAATTCCTGGTAGGCCCTTAGGCAGGCTACTCAGCCTTCCTGAAACCCAGTTCTTTTTTTTTTTTTTTTTTAAGATTTTATTTATTGATTTGACACACAGAGAGAGAAAGAGACAGCTAGGGAGGGAACACAAGCAGGGGGAGCGGGAGAGGGAGAAGCAGGCTCTTGGCTGAGCAGGGAGCCCGTTGTGGGGCTCGATCCCAGGACCGTGGAATCATGACCCAAGCCAAAGTCAGGCGCTTAACGACTGAGCCACCCAGGCGCCCCTTCCTGAAACCCAGGTCTTAACATAGGAATAATATCCACACCTCATAACCGTGTTCTAAGGGTCAACGAGATATATAAAGAAAGCATTTACTAAGGTGACTGGTACATTAAAAATGCTCTCCATAGGTTGTGGTTATTATTATTTTTATTATGTGCTACCATGGCCTTAAGGTCCCTAATTATATAATTTAAAGAGGCAGATACATTGCTGAATCTCCTTGGATTCTGCATTTAGTGTGAGTGCACTTAAAACAATGGACCACAGATGAAATAAATGTAGAAAAAAATTTTTTTCCAATGGAGAACATTTCTAGTACCATGGAAATTTAATAGTTTGCTTAATAGACTCACTAGTATTTACAGGAAACAAGACAGTATATTTTTTTAATTAAAAATGTTTATTGGCTATTGACTTTAATCGACTTACATTAAAGGAAAAAAACATTTTTTCCAAATGTGCTAATAAGAAAAAGACCCAGAAAAATGAACAATGCTTGAGCAGAACATTCAGTGTTTTGAACATAAATAAAACTCATAAATTTTATATGGATTCTGGGATATTAATACTCCAACAATGGATTTGGCCTTGAACAGGAATATAAACCTATGAACAAGTCTAGTCCAATATATTTCAAAGCGAGCAGATCCTTGAGAGCAGAACTTTCATAACTACCCTTGCCGTTCATGGAGAGATTATAGGAATGTCATGGACGTTCCTAAATCATTAATAAAAGAAAAACATACAGATACCTAACACAAAAATAGAGTAACCACATAATAATTAAAAACAATGTCAGTAATGCCCACTGAAATGAAAAAATAGCAAAATATAGCCTAAGAATGTGAAACAAATATATTCCACCCTCCTACAAAAACAAAGGCATTTTTTTGGTTCTGTTGGTTGTTTTTACAAAAACTACGTGTGAATGTACTCTTACAGAAAACATGACAAATACAGAAAAGCCCAAAAAAATAAAAATCACCCGTCAAATCAACATGAACGTCACTCCTTTGGTGAGAGCAGAAAAAATTCATAGAATCAAAGATGATCCAGGAAGGTCTCCCCAGTCTCAGGATCTGCTGATGCCAACTCACCAACCACTTCAAAAGTCACAGGCCAAACCTCTTTCTAGGCTCTCAAACATCTCGACTGTTGCCTGATTCCTGGTACCACTGCACTTTTCACTAGGCCAACAGTGATCAGTAAACAAGGACATAAGAAGGCTACGACTATCATCGACAACTTTTTGTTCCCCCAACATTACAGCTAGATAGAATCTTGGAAGTTCATGTAGTCCCACCCCCCCATGCCTGTCCGTGTTTGTTCAGGAGGAAATAGGCATGGAGGGGTTAAGTGATTTGCTTGGTGTCACAGCTGAGCAGAACTGAAACCCAAGCTTCCATTTGCCAGGCCAGGGCTCTGTCCAAGTGAACACATGGTGAATGAATCTCCCCAACTGATGGGGCTACAGTTCTTATGTGGCCAGACTATTAATGGCCTGAAGGGCAGATCAAAGTGGATCTGTGTGACCAGATGAAAGCATCTGGGCAAACTTTCACCTCGTAACAGGCAAATTGCATGGGCTCTCAGAAGACAAGTCACACATAGATCATGTGGTCAAACGAAGGCGCCCTGGGCCAACTGATCCTAGGAGCAATGTGTGAGCCCCACATTCCATGAAGATACGAGCCTAGTTAAGTCACAAGAGCCTTTTCTGATTGACTGCAGCAGCGAGGCAGCTTGGAAGGCACAAGTGTCTAAGACGCTCCTGAGAATGTAAGGATTAAAACTAGGAAACTCTTAAAATCAGCCAGATTCCTTTTACAGTCAGCAGTCATGTGTCTACAGAAGTCATGCTGCTCGTGACCAATCATCTCTTTTCAAGCTCTGATCCAACTCTGCGAACCCACACAATCTCATCAACCCTGCTTCAGGGCTGCCCCTTCACAACTAAAGCTTTTGTCTTTGACTAAATGAATCTCCACTGAAAGAGTTAGCACTGAAATATTAGAGGTCATGGTTCAATTCTTTCTGATCAGTTGGGGTCACTTAAGTCTTTGGAAGAAATCTCTTTAGCCTCAAGTCAGCAGAGTTTGTTCAAACGTTCCTTATTTATAAGCAGATTCTATTCTCAAATATAAATGATTAAAGCTAAGATCATTTCTTGTTCTCTTCTTTCCACATTCCAACAGCGGGACAGGCTCAGTGCTAAGAGTCAGACTTGCGTATGCCAGGTCTCAAGATGCTTGCCTGCGGATGAGCTCTTTCAACTGTGCCAGTCTGTCGCTTTTTAGTGCTTCCCGGATGGAGTGGAAAAATCCAAAATAGTGTTCAAAGTTGTGCATCATAAGCAGGACCCCAGCCAACAGCTCGTTGGTCACCAGCAGATGGTGGATGTACGCACGAGTATGATTCTTACAGCAGTAACAGGAACACCCTCTCACAAGTGGATCAAAGTCTTCCTGGTACCTGAGAAAGGAAATTACAACAATAGTCCAGAAAATGAGGAATACAAGCGATCCACAGCCTTGGCTATCTATTCTGCTGGTACATAACCAATAATTAATAACCTCACTGGCAAATGTAGTGCTGGGCACCTGCTTAGGATGACAATGTGGTGAAAAGTTAACCTAGGGCATAATGAGTCAGGAGACTCGGGAGTCTTCCCCTGACAGACCTAACTTCCTGGACTGAAGCTTACACAAGAGCATCAGGAGAGAGTCCCCGGGTCACTCCCTCATGCTGAGCTTTGTTAGTCACACTGTAACGGCACACAAGGACAATAAATGCTGTTCTGATGCATGACACACGTCTCCCACTCACCACCGGAACTAGTACAGAAGACATGGTACGACCTTTCACTTGCAGAGCATTTGTGTGTGTGTGTGGATTGCAAAGCACTTTGACATACACAGTCTCACTTAACCTCTGCAACCACCTTTGAAGACAGGCATTTTTATTGTTACTTCCCAATGAAGACTACTAAGGGGGTTGAGAGGAAGGGCTCCCGAGCTACTGGGCCTAGGTTTGATGCCCAGCTCACAACTCACTTGGGCAAGTCACTTAACTTCCCTCTGTGTCTTTGTTTTCTCATCTGTAGTGGTAATAAGTATAATAACAGCATCTACCTTAGGGAGTTATTACAAGAATTAAGTGAGTTGATATAGCAAAGGATTCTCTCTCTGTGTCAAATAAATAAAATCTTTAAAAAAAGGGGGGCCACCTGCGTGGCTCAGTCTGTTGGGCGTCTGCCTTCGGCTTGGGTCATGATCCCAGGGTTCTGGGATTGAGCCCCACGTCCATCGTGCTCCCTGCTCAGCGGGGAGCCTGCTTCTCCTTCTCCCTCTGCCTGCCGCTCCCCCTGCTGTGCACTCTCTCTTTCTCTGTCAAATAAATCTTAAAAAAAAAAAAAAAAACCAAAGGATTTGTACACTGCTGGGCACATACCAAGCACTACATATGTGTTACTTTTTATCAGCTATTAAAAAGAAGTTAAGGGGCACCTGGCTGGCCCAGTCAGTAGAATATGCAACTCTCGATCTCAGGGTTGTTGAGTTCAAGCCCCACATTGGGCATGGAGCTTGCTTTAAAAAAAAAAAAAAGGAAGTTAAATGACTTGACCAAGGTCACAGAGCCAATGAGTAGTGCTAGGCTCTGAACTTCAAGTCTAGTGCTGACAATAAAAGAACTAAAATTTCCAGTTAAATCTATAATGTGAGAGAAGTTTAGTAGTAACCCATTTATATTACCCTAACACTTGAAAAACAGAAATAAATCTCCTTGGCTTATTTTTCAAGTTAAATGTAGTAAACGTCACCATTTCAGACCTACAATCAAGAGGCCTCTATAGAATATAGATCAGTCCTAGGATTTTCATATTCTTTCATAAATTTTCAAGTCCATACTATTCCTAGATGGACATAAATTAAATCTGAATCCCTAGAATGTTCCTTTACATAAGACAAAAAACACCCCAGCACTAAAGTGAGAATACCAAACTCATAGAAAAACCTCTCAGTGGTTCACTAATAATTACTACTTTGGGCCAAATACAAAGTTACAAGATCTCTTAGTTCATTCTTTTTTTTTAAAGATTTTTATTTATTTGTCAGAGAGAGAGAGAGAGAGCACAAGCAGGGGGAGTAGAGGGAGAGGGAGAAGCAGGCTCCTCACTGAGCAAGGAGGCCGATGTGGGACTCGATCCCAGCACCCCAGGATCCTGACCTGAGCCGAAGGCAGACGATTAACGACTGAGCCACCCAGGCGTCCCCTTAGTTCATTCTTTATAGAGGGAAATATTTTATTAAGATTTATGACCTATATATAACCAAGATGACTTAAGTTCCTTAGAATTGAAACACTTTGTTGTTTTTTATCTTGAAATCTTTATTTTGCTCTGACATTATTTAAAGTAATCGGGAAGAGTAAAAGACACCAGACAATAGATTTGGTCTAATCTTTCTGACAGCTCTTCTAAAACACCAGTTATCTAGCCTCGGTTTTCTGACAAGACAAAGTACACAAACTCATCTGCAGAAAAAATGAGTTTTTCTGGAACTGAATTTAAGAAGGCCCAAATAATATCCAACTATAAATATTTTATGAAGTCATAAACTGAAAAGGGAACAGTTACATAAACTTTTAAAACAGACTAAAATTAAAAAGTCAGAAATCAAAATCTAAAAAAAAATTTCTTACTTTTTTTCCTTCAGATTAATTTCAAATGATGTCATTTCTTGGTTGCAACTGGTTGTTTTAATTTTCTTTGTTTGATCCACATATTTTATTTCTTCCTGTATCCCATTTTGTTGTAATACTGAAGGACAAACCAACAAGTCTTGAATAAAAATCAGATAAAGACTGGCCATTGGGAGATTATTTTAGTAACTATTTTATGGCCTTTGACCCTGTAAATTCCACTCATAAGAATTTATCCTAAGGAAATGACATAAGAAAAGTAGTAATATGGGTCAAGATGATCACTGACATATTCTCTATAACATCAAAACTTGGAGATTCAACAATGTCTAAGAAAACTATGGCTACAAGTAGATAATATATAATCTTACTGTCAAGGAGTGATTTTAAGAAAACAGTTGGGGAGAGTGTGTGTGTGTTTGAGAGAGAAAGAGAGAGATAAATGTGTGTGTATATTGGAGTTATGTCTCATCATCATACACGTGCAAATTAATTGTGCTTTGCAACTGCTTATGTTCCAAATAGATTAAAAGTAGAATATGGTTTTAACTTATATATTTTATGGGGACCCTAGCCTTCCAGGGAACTCAGATTATCCAGAACTATATGGGGACTTGAGTTGTTCCCTTGAACTCTTTAAGAAAGAACATTCCTGGATATATAAGGAAAATACCAGTTACTATGCAAAGAGCCAGCTGTCTTGAACAAGGGCAAGTAGAGAAATTTTATTGGGAAGGAGTAGTAACAAACACAGGGTCAGCCCAAGGAGAATGGGCAGACAGTCCTAAGAAGGTAATTTTGTCCAGATCAAAGGAAAAAGAGAAGTGACCTGAGCATTGAGCAGAGGGCTATTATTTTGCTGCCATGAATTTGCATGCTGATGTGGGAAACCACAATAATGCCCTGGCTTTCTGGAAAATCCTTATCACTAGGGGGAACTATATTAGTTCCTATATTAGGCAACTTATTTCTTTGTAATTTTCACTTTGCAATTAACAAAAGACTTTAATTTACTACATATACACACACACAAATATGATTAATAATAATACTTTAGTGGAAAATGTTCAAACTATTTCAATTTTCCTGATCTTTATAAAGAAACAGCTTTCTCTAGCCAAAAAGGAATTTGTCTGTTCTGGAGAACTCAATATCAGGTTCTTATGTTTTGCATATTCATGGTACAGAATGGTTAACAGTTACCCATGTCTTTGTGGAAATAATTAAGCTTGTAAATGAACATTTATAGTGTTTGTGGTATGCTTTTCCACCCGTATACATTATGTTCTAGGCAGTTTAAAGGACAGCAAAACTGACCTCTTATATATAAGAATTTGACCAATCTGATTTATTTTGTTTCCAGAAGTAATTCAATTTCGGTTAGTGGTTAAATTACTTTACAAAACTGTAACATCTTCTTGATGAAATTTTAATAACTTGTGGGGAAGAAAATGAATCTTTAAGGAAGTCTCTGGCCCGAGCTAAATGTAGGGCCAGCGGTGACAGAGGAGGAATTCAAAGGACAGCAGGAAATGGGAAAGGAAATCACACCTATGAAGGCCAGAGGGCAGACAGGGCATGCAACACTCTCCAGAAAAACTGGGTAGATATTCTAAGGGACCCCGGCCCAAAGCCCATATCTCAATTCTTTTTCTATTGTCAGTCAAATGTCACACTCTGAAACTGATATTCTTGACTTCTGAATAACTAAGCAACACAAGAAAATGGTGGTGCTTCAAAGAATATTAGCTTTCACATCCCTGTGTGGAAAAAAAAAAAAAAAAGCAAAAGTAACACTAGGATCAGAGGGGGTGAGAGACTCCCTGTATTTTGATAGCATGGAGTTTGCAAAAAGCAGACAAGAACTCTTTTGTGAAAAACTAAATTAACTTTTACTAAGTAGTTCAAAGGTTTTCTGTTCTTAGATTTTCATCACTATTCACCCTGAATGTTCTCTTTTCAGATTGTTAATAGAAAGGGTTTTGTTTTTCTTGGTTCTGCTCACTCTAAGATCACTCCCTAATATTGAGGAGCTACGGTTTTGTATGCCAACATGCCAGAGCATACAGATAAGAAACAAACACGGTAGTTTTATAAAAGGCTGGCGTTATAGTATGCACATATTTCTGGCTTGCGACTCAAGGCCAATAATGAAATAGAAGAAACTTGAGGATAACAGGGACTAACTTCAGAAGACCTACGTGTCTCTTCAGGGTTCGGCTGGTAATCAAAGCTGAAAGTCAGGGCACATCCCCGCTCTGTCACTTGATAAGGGAAAAAACTCTCAAATAAGTCCACTCCCCTTTCAATACACTCGAGGACCTCATCTGGCCGGCTGACTCCACAGATGAGCCTGCGAAAACAACAGTAAGAACAGTGACATGAGGACAATGCGAGGAATGGAAGCAGAGACTCTTCCCAGAGGGTGTTAAAAGTAGTAATAATGAAGGTACCTGGGTGGCTCAGTTGGTTAAGCATCTGCCTTCAGCTCAGGCCATGATCCCAGGGTCCTGGGATTGAGCCCCATGTCTGGCTCCATGCTCAAGGCCACTTCTCCCTCTCCCCCTTTCCCTCTCCCTCTACCCTTCCCCCTGCTCATGCGCACTCTCTCTCTCTCAAATAAATAAAATCTTTAAAAAAAAAAAGTAGTAATAATGAAACCCACCAATCACGGTTGCATGGCAGGCAACAGATAATACAATGTGATAGAAAGGACATAGGACTTTGGCAGCAGAGAGACCTGGGCTCGAATCCCAGCTCTGCCTTTTATTTACTTACTGTGCTATTTTGGGAAAGTTTCTTAACCATTCTGGGTTTTAGTTTTCTAATCTTAAAAACAAGAGCAGTAATATATACCTCACAGATTTGTTGTAAAAATTAAGAAGATATTTAAAAAAGCGCACGGTGGAGTTTTGGGTCCCAAAGAGAAGTTCAATAAAGGTTAGTTTCCTTTCCCCTCCCATTCCTTCTAAACAACCTCTCTAGTCTTCAACTGAACTTTACAGCCTGTGTATCCACGACATAAGATTTTTTTGAGGGTGCAAAGCTATATGTCAACCATACATCAATTTTTTAAAAAAATTTTTTAAAGAGTGCAAAGCTGTGTGCTTTATTTCCCCCTCAAATACTTTCCATGTTTTAACTGTATTTTGCCTAGAATTCTTTTTCATAATTGACTCAAGAAAGACATTTTTTATCTACTGTATTCTTTATAGGTTCATTTGCAAAGCAACTCTTGCTCTCAGAATTTCAACTCTGCCCATAAGATCTGAGACTCTATTTGACTTTCTTTATTCTTTTTTTATTTTCTCCATTAATAAAAAGTCTGCGTGGTGGGATGAGATGGTATTTTCAGAGGTAATCGGTAAGGCATTCTGGGAGTGATCATACCACTCAACCGGGTTTTGCCACTAAAACAAGAAGGGGAGGTGCACTTGATCAGGGTCGGCTGGCTGGCTGGCTGCTATCTTTTGTTTGTTTTTCTACCCATAGTCCCTTTTATGAACTGGCAGAGAAAAGCTTACAGACTCCCTGATTTCTAAGAGAAGTCCAAAAAAGGCTTATGTAATATTAAACAACCAGAACACTTAAATATATGCTGGTTTTTCTGACTACAGTTTCCTTCAACTAATGTAATGTTTTAGAACTCCTCTCCAACTGAAGCTGGCATTTCTACGCACGTTATAGAATGAAAACAATCCCAGCTCTCAAATCCAGTAACAGACATCTGTGAGCACTTAGCTCAAAGAAGTCTAGAAAATAACTAGAAATACTAGCGCTGAATTGTTATCTGCATCAGAACAAAATCAGCACAGGATGGGGAGCAATGAACACAAGAGAGCTAGGTTAAAACTGTGGGGCAAGTACTGCCCAGGCTACTGGAAGTATCTTGCTCTGGCTGATATTTCCAGGTTGAATTCGTGTGTAAAAATCCATCAAACTGTATATAAGATTCACACACTTTATTGCAAGTTATACCTGGATTTTTTTTTTAAGTGGTAAAATTTACATATACTGTATACCATTCAACAGCCTGAGGGGCATAAAGCAGCATCCTATAATCAAACCCCTTAATAGATCTGTAGGAAAAAAGCATGAATATTCATACCAAGTTGGATGAAAGACTAGGGATTTAAAACAAAAAGAAAAAAAAAAAGAAAAATGTGAGTAGTCTATTAAAGACATCAGCTGCACTCAGAACCTTGGGATTTTGAGCTTTGAATCCTGCAGATCGTTTCTCTACACCAGTATATGGTGAATCCCGTGTTTATGGAAAGAATCAGCCCCATTAGTGTTGCCAGTCCTCTTGACTTCAAAAAGTGACTTAACAACCTGCCTCAAATCTAAGAACTTCTTCAACGTCCTTATTATTACTACAGCCCATGTTCATTCTGCTAGGCACCCAAGATCTGTCCTCAACTTTCCTTGATTAAGGCCAGAGTTCCACATGATTTTATACCTGGACCCAGGCACCATGGTATAATGAATAAAGAACAAAACTTGCATTTGGCATAAAAATGAGGTGAAACAGTATAACATTTGCCCTCACTTATGAAGATCAAATAAACTAATTCAGGGGACGCCTGAGTGGCTCAGCCATTAAGCATCTGCCTTCGGCTCAAGTCATGATCCCAGGGTCCTGGGATCGAGCCCCACATCGGGCTCCCTGCTCAGCGGGGAGCCTGTTTCTCCCTCTCCCACTCCCCCTGCTTGTGTTCCTGCTCTCGCTATCTCTCTCTCTCTGTCAAAATGAATAAATAAAATCTTTTAAATCAATCAATCAATCAAATAAACTAATTCACCTGGCAATTGTCCTCATCTACGTTCTGAAATTGAAGGTGGGACAGCTGTGATGGAAACTTCCCCCCCAGTCTGCTTCAGCAGACTCAGCCCAGAAAAGACACAATCAGTTCATCAAAAGACATGCCCATGTAGAGACTCTGCATAATACACAACACCAGCACTCCTGCCCTGCAGCCCACAAGGCGTGGCCTGCATCCTCACTGAACACTAGCCTTGGTTTGTCTTCCGGCAGCTCTGCGGTGACTGATGACAACAATTTCAGTCTAGTTTCCAGGGTTGCTGGATTCCCTTGAAAGCCATCCAGAAGGAAGCCACCTACGGGCCGCTTGGCGGTCTCCCGTGCTGACCTCAGCCTCTCCTCCATCACGTCTCCACCTTCAATCACTCCAATGATGGTACTTTTCTGAAGGACCTAAGGGGAGAAAGGACTAAATGCTTTTAACTGTTTCCAATAGTGGAGACCTTCGTTTAAATGAACTTCACATGGAAGAGATCTCAGTGCAGCTGCTACAGTTGAAGCATGAAAGGGGGATAGGGCTCCCTCCTACCCAAAACACACCACTTGAAAGCCACCCAAATAGGTAAGAAAAGAGAAACTGAGCAATCAGTACATGCAGTCATGTTTGAGCTTAGGTTAAATTAAACACACTGAGGGTGCCTGGGTGGCTCAGTTGGTTAAGTGACTGCCTTCGGCTCAGGTCATGATCCTGGAATCCCAGGATCGAGTCCCGCATCGGGCTCCCTGCTCAGCAGGGAGTCTGCTTCTCCCTCTGACCCTCTTCCCTCTCGTGCTATCTCTCATTCTCTCTCTCTCAAATAAATAAATAAAATCTTAAAAAAAAAAACACACACACTGAGCAAGTATGAGAGGGAAAGGACAAAAGTATCAGTTTTCATTCATTTAAATGACTATCCAGGCCCTCTTTAAGCTACCTCCAAGTCTCCCTGTTAGAGATAACTTTAAGAACTCTGTGGTTAGGATAACTGACAATCCATTTGGAAAAAAACAAATCTACACTGCACACCATCCTCAAGAATAAATCCCAATGGCCCTCTAATCTAAACACACAAAAGTTACCCAAGTCTCAAAAAGATATATTCAAGTTTACATAATCTTGGAGTAAGGAAGGCCTCCCTAAGCAAGCTAAAGCTTACCAGAAAAGGCTAATGTATTTAAGTACAAAACTTCTCTAGTGAAACATACTCTCGACAAAGGCAAAGGAGAGCTCACTGCTCATTGGAATAGACAAATACTATAGGAAACCTCCAACAAATCTTCTATGGAAATGACAACCCCATAGAAATCTGGGCAGATATGCGAATATGAACTTCAGAAAAGTAAATGCAAATACCCTGTACACATGTGGAGAGCTAACTAAAGCTCACCAGGAAGGAAATACAAATTAGAAATAGTTAGATACCACTTTTGCCCATCACTCTGACAAAATAGTTAAAAGACAGATAGCAACAGTGTAGAGGTAAAGTGTTAGAGAAATGACACATACTCTGATAACTAGAGAGAGTAAAGATTAGTTCAGCTTCTTGGGAGAGCAAGTAGACAACACTTCTTAAAATGTCAATGCTTTGGGCGCCTGGGTGGCTCAGTTGGTTAAGCGACTGCCTTCGGCTTGGGTCATGATGTTGGGGTCCTGGGATCGAGTCCCACATCAGGCTCCCCCTGCTCTGTGGGGAGCCTGCTTCTCCCTCTGCCTCTGCCTGCCACTCTCCCTGCTTATGCTCTCTCTCTCTCTGTGTCAGATAAATAAATAAAATCTTTAAAAAAAAAGTCAATGCTTTTATCTTTATGTCCTAAAATTCCACTTCTAAGAATCATTTCTACAAATATATTCATTCATATGCATCAAGGTATTATTTACAAAATGTTTAGAATAATGAAAAACTGGAAACAAACATACATCCATAGTGTAAAGGCTTACAGGAATTATGATACATTCGCAGTATGGCTTCCTACACGGGTGTTTTAAAAATAATGCAGTAGAGGGACGCCTGGGTGGCTCAGATGGTTAAGCGTCTGCCTTTGGCTCAGGTCATGATCTCAGTGTCCTGGGATCGAGTCCCGCATCGGGCTCCCTGCTCAGCGCGGAGCCTGCTTCTCCCTCTGCCTGCCGCTCCCCCTGCTTATGTTCTCTCTCTCTGACAAATGGATAAATAAAATCTTTAAAAAAAAAAAATGCAGTAGATATAGCAATGTATGCACTGACAGAGAAAGAGTTTTGAGATATTGCTAAACAGAAACAAGCACATTTCTGAACATATGATCATATTCATGTAATGAAAACCCCATGCAGTAATGCATGTATGTAAAAACTATGTGTATGCCACTAAAAAGTAAAAAGGCAAATCAAGAGTGGCTCTCTGGTAGAAGAGAGGAATAGGGAGAAAGCCTGGAATGTGGTGAAGATGGAATTTTGCTTCTCAGTTTAAGCAGGAGGGACACAATCAGAAAGAACCCTTGGGCAGCTGTGTGGAGAATGAATTAAGAGTGAGTATGGCTAAAGGATACGTAGGAGGCAAGTTTAATAATTCAGGTAAAAGACAAAGAAGACCCAGGCTAAGGCAGTGGCAGGAGTGAAGGGGAAGGACAGGATCCGAAACTTCATCAGAAGGTACAATCAACAGGGGTACCTGGGTGGCTCAGTCAGTTGTCAGTTAAGCATCTGCCTTGGACTCGGGTCATGATCCCGGGGTCCTGGGATCGAGCCCCATGCTGGGCTCCCAGCTCAGCAAGGAGTCTGCTTCTCCCTCTCTCTCTGCCCCTCCCCCTGCTCATGTTCTCCCTCTCTCTCAAATAAATAAAAATCTTAAAAAAAAAAAAAAAGACGGTACAATCAACAAACTTGACCGATTACTTGCTCTTGGAGAGGATGAAAAGTCTAGGATGACTCCTGGCTCCTGTTCTAGAAGTCCAGGTAGACAATGGGAAGAGCAAAGACAGGGAATCCTAGGAAAATAGTGGAGGATGAGGCAAGATGTTCATTGTGTTTTGTGCATTCTGAGTTTGAGGTCATCAGCCGCTGAGGACGCGTGTGATACAAATGTGACGAGCCAGGCTGGAACAGCAACACTGGCACACTGCTGCCACTCCCCACGGCAGATGTGGGGGACAGATAGGTACTCTCTTCCTGCTGCACCCAGGCACAGCTCCAAGCACCTTGGGATGAAACCCATTTGCCATCCCTGGCCCAGGAAATATGTGGAGAAGAGAGCCAACACTAGAACTTTGGGGAGCTTCAGTATTCAAGGGCATTCAGAATAAGAAGATCCAGTGAGTAAAAAAAGGAAGAAATCACAGGAAAAGGGAAAGATGGATGCAGACATACAAAGCAGGTAGTTAAATGGGCCTGCCCCTTTACGTGACTGGCAGAGCCCTAACCCGCCTGAGGAAAGGCCCAAGAATTTTGGCATTGGACAGGACATCCAGCCCAAAAGGGACCTCACCCGCTGTGTCAAATGGCCCCGCTACATCCAGCTGCAGTAGCAAAGGGCTTTTCTCTATAAATATCTGAAAGTACCTCCCGCAATTAACCAGTTCACCCAAGACCTTGGCCTTGGACCGCCAAACAACTACTCAACCTGCCTAAGCTGGCCCACAAATACAAACCAGAGACCAAGCAAGAGAAGAAGCCAAGATTGTTGGTCCGGGCTGAGAAGAAAGCTGCCAGCAAAGGGGATGTCCCCACTAAGATGCCGCCTGTCCTTCCAGCTGGGGTTAATAGTCACCACATCAGTGGAAAACAAGAAGGCTCAACTGGTAGTGACTGCACATGATGTGGATCCCATTCAGCTCGTTGTGTTCCTGCCCGTCCCGTGTCATAAGATGGGAGTTCCCTACTGCATTATCAAGGGAAAGGCCAGGCTGGAGCATCTGGCCCACAGGAAGACCTGCACCACTGTTGCTGTCACACAGGTTAACTTGGAAGACAAAGGAGCTCGGGCTAAGCTGCTGGAAGCTATCAGAACCAATTACAGTGACAGATATGATGAGATCTGCCATCACTGGAGAGGCAATGTCCTGGGTCCAAAGTCGGTGGTTCACATGGCCACGCTGAGAAAGGCAGAGGCTAAAGAACTGGCCACAAAACTGGGCTAAGTGTACACCATTGAATTTTCTGTACGTAAAAGTAATAAAAAGTTCTCTTTCAAAAAAAAAAATTTAGGACACATGTAAGCGTAAAAGAGGGCGCTATTAATAATCATGTCAAGAAAACAGCATGATCATAAGGATAGAAAGAGGGACCACCACACAGCAATAATGTGAAATGATAAGGCTGACTAGCATGGAAGAGGGGCTTGAGGCTCAACCGGCTGTTCTAATAATCATGCTGTCACACTCCCTGTCCTCCTTTCTACTCATGTAAACATTACTCACCCTACAAGGATAATGATTGGCTCAAAACAATTGCTAGAGAGCAACACTAACAATTAGGACCCACAGCAATGTCCCCACGCTGAACTCTTACTGCGGATATGAGAGTTCTATTCAGAATGACAACTAAGTTTCCTCCAATCATTTTATGTATACTAACTTTATCAGCCAATTATATTTTTTATTGGTACACTCAAGATAACAATGTTCCTCAACCTCAATGCACTTTGCCACAGTGGGACCTGATCACATTGCTCAGGATTACTCCACATAAGTGATCTGAACACTGAATTCTCCTCTCCGGTCACACCTTCTCTTCTCTCACCAGCTCTGCTCTCTCGTGACTACATCCTTTCCCAGCTTCATTCACTCTGCTACCAGGATATCTGATCTACCACCGCAGCTTCATCCTCCCCAGCCCGTCAATACCAGCCACCATCAGCAAACATGTACTGAGGGCTCACTTATGTCAGGCATTATGCTACATGATGGAGATACAAAAAGGACACTGAAAAACTGAGTTTAAGGAGGTCACAATCTAATAAAGACAAAGGCCATTAAGAAATCATTGCACTATAATATGACTGGAGCTATAATACAGCCACATACAAATGAAACGGATGGCAAAGGATGAACAGAACTTCCTGGAAGGATCAGGGACAGTTCCCTAGAACGATGAATGAAATGGAATGAGCTGGGTCTGGAAGCAAGAGAAGCAATATGGCTGGAGATCAGAAAAAAAGAAACAGTCCAGAAGGAAGTCCGTGGACAGCCTCAGCAAAATGAAACAGGGAAATGCCTCAGGGAACTGTGGGTGACTCAGAAGGGCCTCAAACACAGGAGAAAGTGGTCGGCACTGAGCTGGAGGAGTAGGCAGAGGTCAGGTCACAGCAGCCTGTCCATGTCACATAAGAGTTGACATAGAGAGTCATTAAATTCTCTTAGGGAAGTGGACATGGGCGATTTGTGTCTTATGAAGATCTCTCAGATAGCCAGGCTAAAGATGAATTGGATGGAAATGAGAAGAGACAGAGTAATTAAAAGGTATTGTCTACATAAGAGATGATGAGGTTATTGTGCCTCAAGGTGGTGCTAAGAAAGATGGGGAGGTGGGGGCAGATCCTAGATATATTTAGGGACATGGAATCAAGAAGGAGCAAACAATTGGATATTAAATTGGGTATTAAAAGGAGCCTTGAATGTGGAATTTAAGAAACCAAACAAATGAACATAGGGGAAGGGTGGGAAAAATAAAATAAGACGAAATCAGGGGGCGCCTGGGTGGCTCAGTCGTTAAGCGTCTGCCTTCGGACCAGGTCATGACCCCAGGGTCCTGGGATCGAGCCCCACATCAGGCTCCCTGCTCGGTGGGAGGCCTGCTTCTCCCTCACCCACTCCCCCTGCTTGTGTTCCTGCTCTCACTATCTCTCTCTCTCTGTCAAATAAATAAATAAAATCTTTAAAAAAAAAAAAAGACAAAATCAGGGAGGGAGACAAAACATATGGGACTCTTAACTCTAGGAAACAAACTGAGGGTTGCTGGAGGGGAGGTGGGTGGGGGGATAGGGTAACTGGGTGATGGGCATTACAGAGGGCACGTGATGTAACGAGCACTGGGTGTTATATGCAACTGAGGAATCGCTAAACTCTACCTCTGAAACTAATAATACACTACATGTTAATTAATTGATTTTAAATAAAACTTTTTTAAAAAGGAGTCTTGAAAGACTCAAATTTCTGGGCTGAGGAACTTGGTGGCTGCTATGAACTAAGACAGAGAGGAAAAGAAAGGTTTGAGGAGATCAGATACTGAGTTTGGTTTCCTCTGAGTTTGAGGTGCATGTGAGGGATACTCTAGTAGAATCCAGCTGCAGTCCACTTTATGTCATTCTGAAGCTAAGCAGAGTGAGCTTGGTTATCCACTCAATTTGCGAATTATTCAGCAATTAAAACCAAGGGGAGGCTGCCCAGGGAAAACATCCACAGTGGGGAGAAAAGAGAGCCTAAGGCAGACTTCTAGAGAGTTAGAACATGTCTGGCTCAGGACAAGAAAACAGGAGAGTAACAGAGACCAGGAAGTGAGAAGCAAGGAAGCAGGAGGAGGAGCTGAGAAGGCAGTAGTATGGAACGGCAGTAAGCCAGAGTTTTAAACAGCAAGGAGTGGTGGGTGCTGCAGCCTTACCTCTGACTCTTCCTGTAGCCGTAGACAATCATCCAGGAATAGAAGCGATCGATCAACAGACTTCCTGGCTCTTTTTATGGAAGTTGCTTCCTCACAAGATGCCTCTCCATCTGACAGACACTGGAACCAGTCTGGCTGAAGGGCCTGCTGAATTGCCATGAACTTGGAAGCAGTCATTTCCACTCGTCCCCCAACACCCCACACGGACACAGACTGCCATGGAACAAAATGATGAGGAATCAGCAAGAGTAAAATGCAAGTCAAAAGGAAATAATAAAATGATAAAGCAATACTGAATTTAATCCTTCCTTACAAATAGAGAGATGGTGGCATTCATTATCTTAGACGTGGGGGACAGAAGAAGCTTCCTGTACTATATTCCAATTCTCCGAGCACCTTATAGCTCACAGAGAATCCTTCAGCAGCCACACAGCCAGCTTCTGAGCTAGCCCCAAGAATTCTTTGGGATACTTTTCCAGCCCAGTCTTCCATTCTCCGAGACCCCAACCCATGCATGCTGTCCGTAAACACACCACAGACTTTGATCTTGCTCTGTCTTTGATCACATTGTTCCTTTTGGCTGAAATGCCCTCCCCCTACTTCTCTGCCTGGTAAAATACCATGCATCCTTCAAGAAAGGTCCAAATATCATCTACTCTATTGTGCCCCCCAAACGTATCTGGGCATAATCCATCACTCACTCTTCTAAGCTCTTACAGCAATCTGTACTTATGTCTTTTATAGAAACGATAGTACTGAGTATCCCAATTCATGTCTGTGCCCCAAAAGCCTAGTGTAGGGCCTCACACATTACTGAAGGTTAGTAAGTTTTTACTGGATTGAGTTAGATACGGACACAAAGAAGTCAAAATACACGTAAGCACCTCGATGTACGGACACAAAGAAGTCAAAATACACGTAAGCACCTCGATGTAACATTCTTTGGTTACTCCTTCCCCGTTAGTATCTTTCTTCTTAAAAGAGATTGACAAGGACATGAATGGGGAGGCCACATAGAGTCTTTTTATTCTGGCCTAAGGCTTAAGAACACTGTTTAAATGAATCCTCTCTCCCTTACAAATGGGGTAGGTAACTGAGGTAAAAATACTCTCTTTTGGATTAAAATTACAAAATAAAAAGAAGTTTAAAGCAGAAGACTCATTTAAAACACTTCTCTTAGGTAAGATTAATAGATATTATTGACATCAATAAAGCAGGTGCAGGAAAAGTAGCTGCATTTGTAAAGCAGCAGCATATATGGAGGCCTTGCCAGAATGTAGTCTTCAGGGACAAGACCAATGCGCCATGTCTCAGGTGGAAACTTTTAATGAAGTCCTTTTGATACTGTTCGTCACTAGCTAAAATCTCTGGCTGTGCACCCAGCTTTTTCAAATGCTGTTCTAAAAGCAAGCAGTATTACACGGAGATTCTACTATATATAGTTATACATGTGATAACACTCATCAGCAACTTTCCTAGCGCTTCCTGAGGTTGTTAAAACTGCAAATAAAGCATGGCATAAAAAAACTATTGCTTTCTACCATCATAGCAATTTCTTTTTTTGCCATGTACTTGACCCTCCTTCATCCCCAAATTTTTTTGCAACAATGAAAATGCTGAGGATATATTCCTTACCCCATCTGCAGGCAGCCCTACTCTAATTCCTATAAACCACTCATCCCACTATAGTCATTGAAATAAGGAGAAGGTATAAAGGGGTCAGGAATGGGCTAGCATCCCAGGCAGTGGGATCTAGCACTGGAAAGCTACAATAGGCTGACTTTCTGGGACAAAGCTGCAGCCGTGGAGGGCCTTCTGAGAACACACCTTGTTTGTTACATAACCGGCTGGGCAGGGGCTCACTGGATCATGCAGGGAACAGTACAAGAGTGATTCTGGCATGCCTGTATAAACATAAAAAAGAACTCTTGCAAGCACTTACATCAACAATTACACAGTGTTGTAACAGAGGGCAGCTTCATATGTGTACTACTGGATAAAGTAAGTATCGTTAGACGTAGTAAACTGTTCATACCCGATCTTAGAATTATAAGAGGCCTGTCAACATGAATGAAAAGATTACCTTTAAAACCTACTCATCTGAAAAAAGAACTAAAGGTTCATGTCTAATGACTGAGTTGCTACAAAGGAAAAGTGTTTCTTAAAGTATGAAATACAGTAAAAGTGTTTAGTGGCATGTTGATGTTGACCCTACTTGATTTATTTTGAAGAAAAATATAATATCAAGTATGTTCGTGTTAGGTACCATCCAAAGGAACAAGCTACTGGAAAGACAAAATGATATGGTCAAAAGGTAATCTGATTAATAATAAAGCTATCCCACATCATGGGACCTAAGGACAGAATTACAGGGAAGCTATAGCATACTGAATGAAAATGGATCGAATTCTCAGTAAGTTTCATTGACTCAAGATGACAATTTCTTAGGTTCTTTAGTCAAAAATACAGTCATATAAAAAAAAATTTTTTAAAGTGTTTACTAAACCATATGTGCTTAAATTTCCTATGCTACCCTATATCTTCATTAAAAAAAAAGGGGGGATTTCACTGAAAAAAGACCCAGAAAATAAAGCAAGCAAAAAACAAAAAACTCTGCAATTCTCCACCTATTTTTCCACAATTTCAATTATTATAGTTATCTCTAGAAAGCTTTTTAAGCTATTTTCACTTAATTATATGCTTGCATACTTTAAGGCTGGTTTTAAAATTGGATTCAGTCCAAGGAAAACATTACATAAATCCTTCTACTTAAAAACAGGGCCTTGTGACCAACAAGTCGTCATGCAACTCCCCAGAGAAGCAGAGGACTGAATAACCAGTGGAAACAGAATTTTCATTCACTTAAGTGAGTCTTAGATATTGGGAGAAAGCTCAGGAGAAAGTGATCTACAGAAGAATGGATTCTCTAGCTGCCACCGCAAAGCTTTTCCTATAATCAAATGGACAAATGCATCTGTATATAAAATCCTATTTTGGGAACAAAAGATAATATTAACATACCAGAATACAGCTATAGATAAACACTTCATCTTCTGCTTCATCTTATGGTTTAGGCTCAAACACGGCTAGACTGCTTTGGATCTTAGGTATGTCCCATGTAGTTTCTTACCTCTGGGTCTTTGCTCTGTGCCTGGGATGTCTGCCCACACCTGTCTACCACCACCACTGCGCCCACCTCTCGACCTGGCTAAGTCCTACTTTTCCTTGACTCAGAAAAGGTACCCCTTCTTCCTCCCTCTCTCAAGAATCCTTTCCTTAGTCTGACCTCCATCCACATGAACCCTACAGCAAGTTATGTGCTCCTCCCTCTGGGCTCTCCTGGTACATGTACATATTCCTAATCCTGCAAATGTGGTCACTGCATCCTACTAGAATTACCTATTTATCTTTATTTCAGACAGGCTCTGAGTTCCATTGGGGAAGCAACTGTTTCTATTCATCTCCGAATCCCCAATGTGTAGTTCTTAGATGCCCAATAAATGCTCATTAAATTAATGAATAAGTAAATGTATGAATGAAAGATCAGTCAACAGTGCCTCCAAACTTCAAATTAATATGTCATGAGGCAAACACAAATAACTTGATTTTTACCTATAAACTTTCCAATTCCTTCCTTATAGTCTGCCAAGATTTCATGGTGTTCTGCCCTGTAAGCAAAACAGAAAAATACATAATGATGAATCATTCTATAGACACTCTATGCAACAACTGAAACCCACTTCCCTGCACCCAAACAAGCTATGTGACAATAGTAGTAGTAGTAGTAGTCTTGAACAACAAAGCACGCCATTATTCAAGAGTCCCAACTCATTAGGCTGTGTTCATTAGCCAGAGTACAGCTCTTCAATTTACAAGTAGTTCTGTGAGAACAGAAACTGGCAAAGATCAACTGCTTCCAAATGCCCCATTTTCTTCCTCCCCTCTCCCCTTTAAAATCACTATTATTAACACAATATTGCAGTTATTTCATCATACAGCAGGTTCTTCAATTAAGCATAAAGTCAGTATGTACATTACATAAAATGATCTAATTCCATTAGTTTTGTTTTCATAATGTAGTACTAGCAAGTACATGTGCAGATACAGGGAAACGTTTGAGGCTGGTGTGTGAAGACAGCCTCTAGAAACCAAGTTTGGTTCTCACAGAGCATTTCCCGCCCTGTCACCTCTGGGAGGCAATGAGGGCCACCATACTGGCACAGTTGGGCCAGAGGAATAGTGAGCAGCTCTGACACGTAGGTCCGGCCTATGGCTTCCTGATTAGGGCCAGATGACGTATTAACACTTGACATCTGATTTCATTCTAAAAATCTATAAATTTCGTGCATATAATCAAAAAAGTCTTTCTCTTTACTGCACCTTATTAAGGTATCTGAGCTGCTGCCAGAGTTGATACTTAAGTGATCAGGTTTAATACTTACAACGAGGACAGTGTAAGCTCAGCCATGGCAGGAAGCCTGTGGATAGTATGCAGTGTCTGATGGGTCAGGTGTGGGGCAGAGCCGGTCTTGGTGTACAGAATGCAGGTTGGAATGTCCATGGTGTGGTCCCCTGTTTTGCCCAGGTTTTTTATTTTTCCTAGGCGACAGCCATTAACTACCTTGGTAAGACTCAGCTTCATCCTAAGAGATTCCTCTACCTAATTAAGAAAAGAAGAGTAAATTCAGGAGTTCCATGACATCTAAAGGCTAAGCATTTTACAAAGAAAGTAACCTACACGATGATGAATGACAGCATGTTAATTACTACTTCCAGTCTACAATTGTTTTAGATATCAGGGAAGATATCTTTCCCCAAAGACCCAGAGCAAAATGATGACATCAACCACATTTAAATTCGGTCATGGAATTTTTGTCTGCACTGATAAAAATCAAACAAATGGAAGGACAGGAGTAATGACTAATCACAGAAAGAGTGTGCATTCTTTTGCCAAAGGCTAGCTTTCAGCCTTGAAAATGTATATAAAAGAAGGCCACACTGCTTAGGCTACACTGATTATTGATTTGATCCTTTTTTTCCTTTCTTTAATTTGAAAGAATGCTAGGCAACATAGCAATTTCTCCTAATATGTTAAGTAAAGAAAGCAGGTTCCAAAACAGCATCCCGGTGTTTATTGAACTATATGGAACAATATACATCAAAAGATAGAGATTATCTCTGAGAGGTAAGATTATTTTCCAATTTGTTCTTATATGGTGTCCAAATAGAAGTGAGAAACCACATGGAGCATACATGCGATTCATAAGCAATTCAGCTTTACTTTTATCAGGGATCTTGGCGACTAGTCCCTGGTCCTTTTGTGTAGCAAGCCCTGGATCTTGTCCATACACCTAGCACAGATCCACCCTCAGGGTCAGGCTCAAACAAACCAATCTCAAAGACTGAACAACAAAATAAGAATGCACATTATTTAATCTGAGAACCAAAAAAGGAAAGAGGACCAGTTCCTGTATTCATGCCCTATGGCGTACCACACAGGAATCCAAATGCCACATGAGTATATTAACTGGAATAGGAAGGGTAAGTAATGATTTACATATCTATGTAAAGAAAACTGAAAGGAAACCCACTGGTCCTCAGATTCCCCAAGGTTAGACACAGGGACTGTCAAAGAGGGAAGCAGTGGGGCGCCTGGGTGGCTCAGTCGTTGAGTGTCTGCCTTCGGCTCGAGTCATAATCTCAGGGTCCTGGGATGGAGCCCCACGTCGGGCTCCCTGTTTCACGGGAAGCCTGCTTCTCCCTCTCCCACTCCCCCTGCTTGTATTCCCTCTCTCACTGTGTCTCTTTCTCTGTCAAATAAATAAATAAAAATCTTAAAAAAAAAAAAAAAAAAGAGAGAGAAGCAGCAACTAGATTTGAAAGCCCAGACTCTTGGTTTCCAACACTTAGCTTTCTCTTGGGGACCTCTTAGACCTATCCTTGTGGAAGGAAACAATGAACATGTTCTAGGAGTCCCCATCTTCTGACAGAAGAGTTTCAATTGTGATTAATCATCCGCTCAATTCTGAAAGCATTTTCTCTTATCTCCCTTTCCCACTGTTCCCTCAATTGAAGAAACAGATTTCTTCATTCTTAACACAAGGTCTGTCATTAGGTCCTTGGGAGCTTTAGAGGACAATGGCCATGTTCTTGGATGCAGAGATGGGTTCTCCTGTGATACAATGCACAAAAGTTTAATCCCCATATTTTTAAAAATAAAATTCAAAATCTTCAGCTTTGTATACTGAACCCACTAGGTCAGCTAGAAAGGAATATCCACTTGGCTCTCTCCATAGTGCAGGACTCTGATGCTATGTACTCACACCTGCTGTTTGGGGCTTCTTCAGAGTCCCATCCTAATGATGATAAATTGACATGTCACCAAACAAAAAAGCAAACAAGGAAAAGTAGATGGCTGCATTTAAGAAAAAGTATTGTATTTTTTTTTTAAGATTTTTAAAATTTATTTGACAGAGAGACACACAGCAAGAGAGGGAACACAAGCAGGGGTAGTGGGAGAGGGAGAAGCAGGCTTCCCACGGAGCAGGGAGTCTGATGCAGGGCTCGATTCCAAGACCCTGGGATCATGACCTGAGCTGAAGGCAGATGCTTAAACGACCGAGCCACCCAGATGCCCCAACAAAAAGTACTGTAATAGATAAATTGCTATTGTCAGTGATTCTCTGTATCATGAGAATGAATAAAAATATTAGAGGGCATTAGAAAATGCCCTTCAGCTGGAAATCAACATTAAAAAAAAAAATGCAACTTTGCCCAGAGCTAGAAGAACCACACTTTCCTTTCCCCATTCACTATTCAGTTTATGATAATTTTTATAAGTGCAGCCATTTTCTAAGGGCTCAAATACAACAAGTTTTTATCACGGAGTAATGTAAACATAAATATGCACATACACATATTCATGTACACGTTTTTTTAAAACATGCTTTGGGGGGGTGCCTGAGTGGCTCAGTTATTAAGAGGCTGCCTTCAGCTCAGGTCATGATCGCAGGGTCCTGGGATGGAGCCCACATTGGGCTCCCTGCTCGGCAGGAAGCCTGCTTCTCCCTCTCCTGCTCCCCCTGCTTGTGTTCCCTGTCCCGATGTCTCTCTCTGTCAAATAAATAAATAAAATCTTTAAAAAAAAAATGCTTTGAGAGGGATACAATCTAAACCAAGCAAATTTCTCAAGAAACAAACCAATAGTCTCCAAAATACCAGCTTTTATTTGCCTTCATCATCACCCCCTCCTCTGTGGGTCACTCACTGAAGGTATCTTCTAAGATTTGTGGTGTTATGCTTTTCTAAATATACATTCACACTTCACTTTTACAAATGGAGTTCCTAGGAAAGTCTAAAGGAAAAACCATTAACAAGAGCCACCTGGAAATTGTTCATGGAAAAAACTTTATCACTTTAAGGACAAGTGATAAGCTGTCAATGGAACTATGCCTTCACGAGGGCTAACAGAGATTCCCTGCACCTCTGGTAGCATTGTACCAACATGTCCTAATGGTTCCAGTGCTACACATGCCCCACCCCGCCTCCCCAGCATTCCCTCAGAAGAAGGGATTTCTAAATGTTTTTTAGATGAATTCTCTACTGACTGTCATGACTGTGATATGCTAAGGAAAAAGAGTAAGCTTAGGTGAGCACATTTTTTTTGTGAAAGAAAAACCGTATACATATTTATAAACATATATGTACACATACATGCTACAATGTTTTATACATGCATACAAAAAAGTCTGAAGGACTTCGAAACAATATGGTGCACTGAGTTGACTCAGAAAGACACAGAAATGATGGATTTTAAATTCTAGAAAACAATAACAGAAGATGAGACAGAGCTTATTCAGAGGTAGAGTATTCTAAAATCCTTACACTATTTGGGAGGGGGAGAGAGATAATGAATGATGTCAAACTGTTAAGTATGTGTGCCAAAAATTTCAAAGTAACCATTAAAAGATTAATGATGGAATGCATAATTTCTGAAACCGTTGGTGAGGGATGGGGGATGATAAAAGAAAAACTGGTTAATACAATAAAAGGCAAGAAAGAGGAAAAGAGACCAAAAAGCACATCTAATATAGAAAATACAAAATAAGATGGTAGAAGTAAACCTAAATATGTCAGTGATCACAATATAAGTTAACAATTTCACATAATGACAATAGTAGCAGCTAACATTTATTGGGCATTTACCGTCTTTTACATATTAACCCTGCTAAAGTGTATCATATCGACCTTGTAAGACAGATGCTATTGAGTGCATTTTACATGAGAAAACTGAGGGTAATAGAGTCACCATCTGGGGAGTGGCAGAGCCAGGACTTAAATCACGGAAGTCTGGCTTTAGAGGTTGTACTCTAATAGGCTGATAGCCTATTAAAAGTCTCATCTTGTCCATACACATATGCAATGTTTATATTAATTGTAATGTTAAGATACAATTTTATAGTCATATTTTACATTTTGCTATAGTGTTATTTTGTTTTCCCTTACCTTTCTTCTCTGCCTCTATCCATCCTCCCAGCCTCTACAACCTTTCTCCATACTCATACAAACATTTAAACATACTCGTATATGGGACGGGATTTTTTTTTTTAATGGAAACATACCACACTGTATGCACTTCTCTGCAATTTGCTTTTTTCCCAGAAGGAAATGGGTATCTTTCCTGGAGAAGACACAGAACTAACTTACCCTTTTAAAATAACTACTTCACGATATTACGTAAACTGGATGTGACACAATTTATTCAACCATCACCCTTCTGATGGGACACTCAAGTTACAGAGCAGGTCCTATGATCTCTGCAATAGTACGAGGACACAACTTCCCTGATCTCATTTTCACCAATCTCAAGTCTAGTTTAGTTTATATTTCCTGGCAAAGCGCTATGTTTACATTGTTTTTTCTTCGTTACAATATTCCAGTGATTTAGGTTTGCCGATGAGTAAATCCAGGGTTCGCGTTATTAAAGTTTCCTCAGGTCATACAGCCACAAAGCTGGGTTCAAAGCTCCCACGTAAACCACTACCCCTCCTTATAAATCCATGTATCCTAGAAAGTACTGCCTCGGGAACATCTAAGTTCAGTCAATAAGGATGGATTTTTCTTCACTCCATGGGCCCCCTCCACTGGCCCCAGACCTCGCGAAGCCCTTACCTCAGGGATTCGAGATCGTCCCAACCCTCCTAAGTATCCTGTGCAGTCCAGAAAACACTTCCGGCTGAGAGCCTGATTCTTGAGCAGAGGCCGGTGGAAAGGAGGCCCTTTTCTCTCTGAGAGGCAGTGAAGCTTACACGATTTGGGAGAACCTGGACTTAGAGAAGCCAAGATCCACCAGGAGAGCCAGAAAAGGGAAGGAGAAACATGTCAGGAGTACAACTACAGTTACTGCAACACAACGAGTACGCGTCTGAGCGCGACGCGACTCATCCACCCGTGGTAGCCCCCATTCTAACAGGAAAAGGGGGCACTTACCTGCACACCTCCCACCTTGTTTTGGCCTTGAGACCCCTCAAACTCCTCGTATTTCGCTACCACGTGTCCGGCTAGCAGAATTCTCTGCCCCCTAAACCACCGCCTCCGCTGCAGAGCCAATCAGGGAGCACTGCGTCATCCCCGGGCGCCAGTAAAAGGCAAAGGTAATATCAAAGCGAGCTCTGGTGACTGCGAGGCCGCGGGACCGCTGCCGTTGCCATAGGTTACTGAGCTAACCCGTTCCGCCTGCGCAAAGCCTCCTGGGAGTGGTGGTTCGGCGGCGCCCTACACCTGCCTTCTTTGCGGCCGGAGGAACTACAACTCCCAGGATGACCAGGAAGCAGCCTAGGCAACGGAGCGGTAGTTCCAGCTTTGCGGTGGTCCGGGCCCGCACCTGGAAAATGCTGCTGGCGCCCCAGGAAAGGTCCTCTTCTAGGAAGAGGACGGGGCCGAATCGCTGGAAACAGTTTACAAGGAAGCCGAGTCCCAAGGTGATCCATCCCAATCGGGAGCTCTGGGGGGGCGGGGACCGGCCCCGAGGCAACCGGCTGGGCTGCGCTACCTCCCTCTTCCCCCAGGGGCATCCTTAGGTGGCTGCCCCTTGCCTTGACTGCCCTGGAGCTGGCATTGCCCTGGTGAAGGGGGCCTACGAACTTTGGGGTCTGGATAACTTACGGCCTTGGTGGGCAGTACCGTGAAAGAACTATTTCCATTTTCTTAAACAGGAGAGGTTCTGGTAGTGCCCATCCCGGTGAAGAGAATTCTCGAATTCCCTCGCCTCGCATTCCCACCCCCGCAATTTTAGGGAATTTCCCGCACATTTCTTTCTTTCCTTCCCTTCCCATTTCCTTCACTTTCCTTTCCTAATTTTAGATGTTATTGGAGAGGGAAGACCTTCATGTTAAGTCCTCAGCCTCATATTCCTCCCCTTCTAATTTTTCATAAAGTATCAAAAATGAACTCAGGAATGCAAGTGGATATTGGACGTATCAATACTTGATTCACTTGAATTTTTTTGAATTCAGCCGACATTTCCTTTTTATATGTTACCTCCTTTGATGCCCTAGCATCCAAAGACATGGAAAACTGGTAAGCCTATTTTAAACTTGAAACATACATAAATGCCATGTGCAAAGTCACAGTCACACGGTGTGTGCTTTCCACAGACTACCTTTTTAACAGTCACAAAAATAACTGCTTTAAATGTAAGTGAGAGTACCAAAATGGAGTGGTTTCTCAGCTTCCAGCTCCAGAGCACTTTCACCAGCTGTGTTCACCCTTAAGTTATACTTTCTTAAAAAAAAACAAAAAAACTCGACACGTGGCATTCTTAGGGCTCTAGGCAATCGTGCTTGCAGTTTTTTCTAAATATACCTGTTAAATAATGCCCTGGACATATTCCACTTGGTGAATATCTTGCCCCAGATACCAGAGGGTGTAGATAGGAGCACTAGAGAGAGTTGGAAACAGAGTCAGCTCCTATTGTAATGTGCTAGTTCCACAATAGGTTGGATCCCAAATAGGTTATGGGTATAGACTTGATGATGAAAGGTAAAAATTTGGGACAGTTTCTTAAGACTCCAGAAGGAAAGATTTTTGCTGCTAGTGCTCCTTGTTACTGCCTAGAGGATAAAAAGGAAAAAGCACAAGAGCTTCTTGAAGTTCAGTTGTGTTTTAATAGGATCAGCTCTTTCTTTGTTGCAGTGACAAAATTATTCAGCAGTACAGCTGCATTAATTAGTTATCTTAAGGTGCTTTGAAGGTGAAGTGTTATGTAAGTGAAAGAGAGTATTATACCTTTCCTTCCTCCATGTGACGGTATGCTAATTTAGATATTCCCTTCTTTATTTAAAGATCCACCTGAATTATTAGCAAAGCAAATACCTCTATTTGTTAAGTGACTGTTAGAGGGAATTCCACAAGCTTCTAAGAGTTACAGAGAGTGAAGAAAGGAGGTATCCTACTGGTTTGATTTCTAATTTCAGATTAATATCTGACTGACCTGGGCAAAAATATATGTGATCTTTACTTCATTTTCTGCTTTGTAAGAAGATTGATTATCCCCCACTACATCCTCCTACCGCCAGCACCCCTCCCCCAGTTATTATTGGACCAAACAGTATTCCTGTTATAGCTAAGATAGGAAAGCCCCTTGCTACAGGTTGTTCTTGAAAAGACGGACCCGAGGAAAGGGCATACCCTTCTCCAAGCAGACTTGCTTCCATGACATTTGAATAATCTGGCTCGTTAATCAGTGCTTGTTTGGTTTTTTATAAAGAATAGATCTAGCATTCCTCTATTTTGGCTCTTGGAGAGCTTTATTTTTTTTTAAGATATTATTTATTTATTAGAGAGAGAGTACGAGAGGAGGAGCAGAGGGAGAGAGACAAGCAGACTGCATGCTGAGTGCAGAGACAGACGCAGGGCTCGATCCCAGGACCCTGAGATCATGACCCAAGCTGAAATCAAGAGTCAGCCGCTTTAACCGACTAAGCCACCCGGGCGTCCCTCTGGAGAGCTTTAAAAAAAAAAAAATAATACTGACACCTGGGCCCTATTCCAGACCAATTAAATTAGAATCTCCAGGTGGGCTTAGGCAGGAGATAAAAACAGAAGAGATCCCAGAGAAGGCTTCACGTTTTCTTCCTCTGACCATCATTCTGTGTCCTTGCTGAACTTGCTGACGAAATGGCTTGGGGAAGGAAAAAGGACACTTTTCCATATGCTTTAGTCAGAAGGATAGATTAAAATGGCAAAGTTGAAAGAGTTATTGCTGTGTATTAATATTCTCTATATATTATCTACAGCCTGCCTTTGACCCTGACAATGTGGAACACTGGATTAAGGTAAGGATATTGCACAGTTAAGATAGTTACAAGTCAGACATAATCTGATGGGAAGGAATATTGATGGACCTCCATTTTGCACATGTTTTGCTATTATTCTCGTGACTGTTGCTTTAGTTTTATATTCCTTAGTATTTTTTCATTATTCTGTTGCTTTTCATGAAAATATGAATGACAAGAAAATGGGTATAGACATGCTCTTTTTTTTTTTTTTTAAAGATTTTATTTATTTATTTATTTGAGAGAGACAGAGCACAAGCAGGGGGAGGGCAGAGGGAGAGGGAAAAGCAGACTCCCTACTGAGCAGGGTGTTGACGTGGGGCTTGATCCTGATCCTGGGACTCCGTGATCATGACCTGAGCCAAAGGCAGATGCTTAACTGACTGAGCCACCCAGGTGCCCCTAGACATGCTCTTTCAAATGCTGAGGGGATCCCATGAAGAGGACTAAAGGAGCAGGGGAGGAGAAGCTGTAAGAGAGGATGTGGTGGCCTTCCTCAGATATTGGAAAGACTGTACTGTAGTTACATTGATCTATGGGACCAGTGCATTAGGTGAAAGCTGTGCATGCATCGTAAGAATTTTCTAATACCTGGAGGGATCCAAAAATGGAGCGGGCATTCTCATAAAGAGATAAAAACTAATGATGTATGGTGATTAACATAACATAATAAAAAAAAAAGATGTATTTTCTATCGATGGAAGTGTTCAAGTGGATTCTAAATGACCACTTAATGTTAGGACTAATGAAGACTATGTTTGAGCATTCTGTGAGGGGGGGATTGAATTAGGTAACTTTCTGAGCTCTTTTCCAGGCCTGAGATATGTGTTTTTGAGTCCAAGTACCATTTAAGTTGAAAGTACTATTAAACTACTTCAGGTGCATGCCTTTGAGTATCAGTTTGGCAACTTGCCCTACTCAATTCATTTGTGCAGCATATTTCAAAATCATGCAGCATTTTCCTGGGAAAATATCATTCTGCCTGGTAGTATTTTGAAGAGCTATTACTTATCAAAATTGACAGGCATTATAAGTTCCAGATGGAACCTAGGCCAGATGTAATCACTGTTAACTATTTATTTATCCAGCCAGTATTTATTAAGTGCCTTCTAAGTACTAGTCCACTCTGTTGAACACTGAAGATAAAACCGTGCTCGGGACAGGTATAATCCCTGCCTTCCCAGAGTTTATAGTCCAGTGGAGATTAAACAACTTACTTAAAACCAGTGGGAGAATTAAAGATGTAATAGAAGCAGGTGGTGGGGGACGCTAATCTAGACAGGTCAGAGAAGGCTTCCTGGTTCCTGCAGAAGGTCTGACTTAGAAGACCACTAAAACAGATCTGCCCTTGTGGAGGCCGGCCTCTGGGAAGCCCACTCCTCAGCCTCCTACTAAGCCTAGTTTCCATGTCCGTGCTGAGTGTCCCAGTGCCAAGCCCCTGCAGGGCTCAGTTGCACATTTAGTTACTGTCTCCTCCAGAGGGGAAGATTTAAGTGAAAGAGAAGGATAAAACTCTGCTCTGACTTTATGCAGTTGTCAGACAGTTTGACCGGTTAGATTTTTATCATTCCTCTAAAATTTCCGCAATAGCTCTGTCTCCATATGCCCTCAAATCTCCCATCTCAAAAAAAAAAAAAAAAAAAATCAGTCCTTACTTGACCCTGCAGTCCATTCTGATTATGGTACAGCATCTTTTTCTTATCCAAGTCTTTGAGTGTATAGCCTAGACTCCTTGCCCTTGCATTTTTATTATCCTCTGCTGTCTACAGTAATTTCCTCCTGTTTCTCACCACTTCACAGAAATGGTTGTCCTAAATGACTTCCTGATCAAATCCAGTGTTCTCTTCTTCATCCTCAAAATTTGTAAGGTTCGTTTGATCCAGTTATCACTTTTTTTATTCTAGAAATCTTCTCCTTCGTTATCTTTTTATAACCCTGTTTTCTCTTGCTTCTCCTACTACTTTTCTGTTCACTACTGTCTTCTTTTCTGATTTTGTTCCCTAATGTATCCCAACTCTGGGTGTATCCTAAACAGGACTTCTGAACCTAAGACTTCCAAATCCCCTTGAGTGCACCACCCTCTCCAAATCAGTTTAGACCTTGTTACATGAAAGAAGGGGGAGAATATGGAAAGGGTGTGAAGCATGGTGAAGATCAAGAAAGGGCTTTCTTCAGAACAAAAAAAATCACTGGGGCAGCACTGGGACTTGGCTGAAGCAGGTAACCAAAATCTTAATGTGGTACCCAAAATTGGTAGATCAGATTGACCTGGCCTTGAAAGTTTTCATTGGAGAGGTAAAGATACAAGTGATTTGAGGCTTATGTAAGAGAGTAGCTGAATATCCATGCAGAGTAGGAAGTAGGGGACCCTTCAAAGAACTCCTAGGTTGGGAGGCGGAGGCCTGTAGTGACGAAGGACTTGGTTAGGTGCAACACCAATGTAGTGGAGGAGGGGGAGCAAAACAGGGAGATGGACAAGAGGCTGATGTTGGGGAGGGGGTTATCGGCTTTGGGGTTGAACAATGGGAAATTCTGTGTGATGTGGTTCAGGATGACCATGTCAGTGGGTTGCAGAAGTACAATTGCAGGAAAGGCCGTTGGAATACAGGAGATGAAGCAAACCTTGAGGCTGAAATGTTGGTGAGTCTTCCTCAGGGACGCTGAAGTCACTTAGAATCAGGCAGATACTTGAGAACTGTGAGTTCTGGGACAGGTCACCCAAAATGCAACAATTCACCATGATCTATAATTTATCCTCATCCTGACTTGATAGACTCACCTTTTTACTCCTGTGCATTCTGTTACTTCGATGCTTAAGCTTTCTCTAAACATTTTCATTGATTTTCTATTCTGGAACCTTCAGGGATTCTGTATGCCATCCGATGAAACTGTAAATTCCAGATGGGCACTTACAGCCCTCTGTCAATCTAGCTGTAATATCAACCCACCTGTAACAGCCTCTTTGCTGATACTCTGTGTGACTTGTCAGGCCAGTCTCCTTCCCCTTCTGTCTTCCTTTCACTTTGACTCACACTGATCCCCCAAGCCTGGAATACCATTCCTCTCTTGGAGGCCAATCCAGATCTTTCCCTTAAAGCTCAGCTTGAGATGCCCCTCTCAGTGAACAACTCCCCTGACACACCTCAACCACCTAATCCCATCTTCTAATACTTTTTCCCTTGGAATTATGTTGACATTCATACACAACAGAGACTGCATCTAGCATTTGCTTGTGTACAGAGAGATTTAAAAAGAATTGGACACTTTCAAAAATTTATTACTCCCAAAACTATTATTTATAAACATGCAGGTTGCACTTGAGGGTATATGAAGAAACTTGTGTTTGTACCTCCCAGCCTTGAGGAAATGAAAGAGTGCATTGTAGCTGCTGTTCCTGCCGTCCAGTGGACACTGGGATTGATGTGTGTCATGGGATGTAAGGAGCGTTTATTGAGCATTTATAAGATCATGGAAATAACTAAGATAGTTTCTTTACAAATTATATATTTACATGTAACACAGTTACTGAGTAGGAAACTTTTGAAGGTATTTGGGGTTTCTTATCACCCTGTGTTCCTTTAGAACTGTTCTTGAATTGTGTCTTGCACATGTGGCACATGGACACAGTAAATAGTAGTAGATAGGTAGATAAAAGTGAACTCTTTGGTCACTTTTAGTTTTGTTTTCCCCTCAGTGTCCACTAAGGTAGTGGGAACAGTGCTAGCCTTCAGTCCTTCAGTCAACTTGCTTAAAGAAAAAGTTGTTAAATTGACACTTTGTTTTATTGAAATATAATTTAAGATAGACCTCTTCTGTCGCTCACGTACTTATTTGGAATGAAATGGTAAGGATGTAATATTTTAACCAAGGAAACACGAGACTATTTCTTTTTTTTTTTTTTACCATAAAACAGACTTTTTTTTTTTAAAGATTTTATTTATTTATTTGAGAGAGAGAGAATGAGAGATAGAGAGCACAAGAGGGAAGAGGGTCAGAGGGAGAAACAGACTCCCTGCTGAGCAGGGAGCCCGATGCGGGACTCGATCCCAGGACTCCAGGATCATGACCTGAGCCGAAGGCAGTCGCTTAACCAACTGAGCCACCCAGGCGCCCAACATGAGACTATTTCTAATCCTTAATATCATCTAGTATTTTTTTTACCAAAATCATTTTAAGTGATATCCCAAATACATGCTTTGTGAGAGCCCAAGCAAACATTTCTCCTTACTCCCTTCCTTGTAAGTCCCAGCCTGTGTCCTTCTTGAGTACCAAAATCAGTCTTCCCCTGTGTCTAAGCTCTGTCTCCCTCCTTTGTTAAGAATCTGTACCAATTCCAATTCAGGTGAGATGACCTATCATACAGAGTTCGTTCTTTCACTCATAGCCTGAGGAACTAAGTCTACAATCCTGTTTTGTTATTTATTTTTTGTTTGTGAATGTTGGTTTAAAAACTGAAAGTTGATCTATTTGTACATTATTTACATATATGTGTATATAACATACACAATGATACATGCGAAATTCATCTTGCTGTCTTAGAATTTTTAAGGGAAGAACTGTGTGCCAAGCATAATGTGACCATCCAATAAATGGCATATCGACCATCATAAATTTGGACACATCAGAGGCCAAGAAATAATGTTGGAGACAGATCTCTCCAGAGTGACCTCATAAACAGTGAATGATATTTTCTTTATTCTAACCCTGATTAGATCACGTTTTCTTCTGGTTTATATCTTTTCCTGTGTGTTCTATTTTCTACATCTTTTTCAAATCACCCTTAGCTTTTCAACTTTATTCCTCTGTTTCTAATTCAAACAATATATGAAACCCTTGAGAATTTAAAAGGTAAAGTCCCAGGGCACCTGGGTGGCTCAGTCATTAAGCGTCTGCCTTCCGCTCAGGTCATGATCCCAAAGTCCTGGGATTGAGCCCCGCGTCCGGCTCCCTGCTCAGCAGGAGGTCTGCTTCTCCCCCTCCCCCTGCTTGTGTTCCCTCTCTCGCTGTGTCTCTCTCTGTCAGATAAATAAACAAAATCTTAAAAAAAAAAAAATAAATAAATACATTTTAGGGGCGCCTGGGTGGCTCAGTTGGTTGAGTGTCCAACTCTTGATTTTGGCTCAGGTCATGATCTCAGGGTCCTGGGATCGCTGAGCAGGGAGTCTGCTTGTCTTCCTCTCCCTCTGCCCCTCCCTCGACTCATGCTAAGCTCTCTCTCAAATAAATAAATCTTTAAAAAAATAAAATAATAAAATTTTACATGTATTCATTTTTTAACATTTATGGGGCACCTATATATGCCAAGCACTGTAATAGGTACTGGGGGTTTCACACATGAAGAGGACAAACATGCCTGCTCACATTCTACTAAGGGGAGACAGTATATGGTAAAATATAAGGTCATAAGTGCTATAGAGAAAGTCAGAACAGAGAAAGGGAATAGGGAGAGCCGTGAGGAGGGTGGTTACAGTTTCATGTAGGGTAATTCGAGAAAGCCTTACTATGAAGGTGACATATGGGTAAAGACATGAGGAGGCAAGAGAAAGTTGTATGGCTATCAAGGGAGAGCAGTCCAGCAGAGGGGAAGTAGGCCAAAGGCGCTGAGGTGGGACTGTGCTTGGCATATTTGAGAAGGAATGCACAAGGTCAGTGTGGCTGAAGTCAAGTGAGCAAAGGGATGTCGCAGACGAGAAGGTTGTAGAGCTCACAAAGGGCCTGATGGTGCAGGACCTTGAAGCACATAGGACTTTGATTTTTATTCTGAGTGTAATAGGGAACCATGAAAGGGTTTTGAGCAGAGTTATGTATGGCTTTCATTTCAAAGGAACTGTCTGCTGTGGTGGGAGACTATCAGAGAAAACCTGTCAGGAAATTGTGGTGCCTTGGACCAGGTGATAGCAGTAGAGGTGACAAGAAGGGGTCAGATCCTGGATATATTTTGAAAATAGAGTCAACAGATTTCCTAACAGATTGGTTGTGGGGTAAGAGAGAGAGAATAGATTCAAGGACTCCAAGGTTTTCATCCTGAGACCTGAAAGAGTGGCATTGTCACCTAGGTTGGAAGCCTGGGAACACAGCAGATGTGGAGGAAAGCAAGTTTGTAGGGAGGGAGAAAGTCAGGGATTTAATGGTAAAAGAAGTTCTTTTTTTTTTTAATTAAGATTTTTATTTATTCATTTGAGAGAGAGAGAGAAAGAGCACAAGCAGGGGGAGAGGCCGAGGGAGAGGGAGAAGCAGACTCCCCGCTGAGCCGGGACCCTGATATGGGGCTCAGTCTCAGGACCCTGAGATCATGACCTGAGCTGAAGGCAGATGCTTAACCATCTGAGCCACCCAGGCGCCCCAAGAAGTTCTTTTATATTGTGCAGGTAAACCAAAGTGCCAACACAGTTTGCCCACCTCCACCAATCCCATGAATTGGGCTGTGTTTTTACTCTTGATTTAAAACCTTCTGGATGACTACAGTTCAGTGACTCTATCCCAATTTTATTTAGTCTATAGTTTATTTAATATATGATGGGAGGTTCATTCCAGGGGTAGTAATTTGAGGAAGTATAGCTACTGTGCCTCTGCTTCATATTCATATGCAAATCCTAGTGGCCATGGGAGTTAATATTGTATTTTTTATTTAAAATAAAATATCCAGGTGTCATGATCCCATCACTAATGCTCTAAACAAAAGTTATCTAAAGTTTAAACAACCTTTTGTTCAAAAATAAACATTGTGAATACATGTTAAAATTTGGTAAAATATTGCAATTAATTTCATGTTTAAAAAATGAAATTATTTGGGGTAGTTAAGCCTCCAGAGTTCCTTTAAAAATGGAACAGTGGAAGTATCTTAGTAGGTGGTAGAAAATCAGTTTTCTTGAGTAGGAGAAAAATTCTTTAGCCCTAAACAAAGTTGTCATCATCTTAATGGATTTTTTTTTTTCTATGATATTGAAGAAGGTGGAGAAAGCCTCAGAATTTGCAGTTTCGAAAGCATTTTCTCCTACAAATTCCAATTTGTCCAGAAGGCTTTGGAGCCAACTCATAGATTTGGAAACGTCTGAGCAAATCGAGGATCATGATGAAGTCTATGCAGAAGGTAAGAGAATACATTTTTTTGCTGCGGTGTTAACAGTTCTTTAGAATACAGCTTATTAAAGCATAACCTGTAATGCATTTCAAAGTACAGAATGGAAATTTTTCTTTCTCTTGCGCTTAAGTTTCATGTTTTTCCACCTCTCTGAAACTAATCTATCCTGGAGTGAACTCCAATATTACAAGTAAGGCTATATTTAAGGCTCATTCTGTCTCCTGAAATGGAACCACATCAAGAGGCAGGTTGACATGATGCAACTAACTAGTGAGTGTTATAAGGTATCCCTCCTGTGGCATGGAGGGCAACATGATCACTTGATCTAGTATTATGAGATCATTTGACCATTAGTTTGTAAATCCACTTTATTCTTTATGAAGAGAGTCTAAGATTGATCTAACCTTCCTACCTCCCCAAAACATTTACTCCTCTGGAATTTAGTATTTTAGTTTCTGTTGCTCTTGGGAACTCCAGCATTTAGGGATGAATAGATCAGGAGGAACCAGCAAAGACTGGAAAGGAGAAGCCACAGAGGTAGGAAGAAAGTCAGAGTGGCCATGTCCTGGAAGCCAGCTTCCATTTGGATGATTGTCTCTTTTTATTCCATTAACTTATTCCATTAAATGTCTCTATTTATTCATAGCATGTCTTTATTCAGAATATATATATATATAATTTTTTATGTTTATAAGTATTTATATGATAAAAACTTATATGTTTATAATATAATCTATTATATATATTAAAAAAATTATCACTCTGTGCCAGGTACTATTTTAGGTACTGGAGGAACCTAAAATTTTGAACAAGAGAGGCAAAGCCGTTGCTTTCATGGGGTATACATGCTAGTGTGAGAATAAAGGAAACTTAAAATTATTAGGTAGTGATAAATCATTCAAGTTTGGACCTGAATAATAAGAAGGAGCCAGCTAAACAGTAATGGAGGAGGGGCATCCTAGACAGAGGGAAAGGTAGCATCAAGAGTTAAAGTACAGACAAGCTTGGTGTGTTTGAGGAACTGAAGGAAGACCAGTGTGGCTGGAACATCCCAATGGATATGAGCTTGCAGGAGTGAGCAGAAGACCTAGTACATAGGGCCTATAGGCCTGGTAAAAGAATTTAGATTTTATTCTCAGTATGATGAGACATCATTGAAGGGTTTTAAGCAGAGGTACAACAGATCAATATTTTAAATATATGAAAAGTGGATTATAGGGGAGAAAAGGAGGGAAGAGGGAGATCTGTGAGAGGCTGATGCAGTGGTCTGGGTGAGCAGTAAAGGCCCTTGGTCTTGGGTGGTTGGTAGAACTGGAGATGGAAAAAGGAGATTGGTTCAGAAATTGGCAAGGCTATGTCTTGCCCACCCCGTCTCCCAACCCACTATTGGGAATACACAATATACTTTAGCCTCTTAAAGTTTCTGAGAAGTCATGCTGTCTAAAAAATAATGTTTACTTACCCCAAATCCCAAGCTTCCTACACCTGGAAACTCCTTTTAGCCTGAAATCCATATTCCTATCCTGAAGAGTTAGTGATACACATTAGAAAGTACTAGTGTTATGAACAGAACATGGTTTTCAAAGGTTTATATCCCTTTTTCTCCTCTCATCAATCATCTGTTAATATTCAGTAAGAACCAGTGTTCTGAGGAACATATTTTGAGAAACTCTGCTTTAATGTAGCCTTAGAGCCTCTGATCCAACAGGAGATGTTCCTGCAGTTGAACTCTCCAAGGGTAGTTCGCTTTCTTTGTGCTTTGGGGGCACTTCATAGCAAACCCCTCTTTACTAATGAATGGCATTGAGTAGGTCTGAATTATTCTACATATAAATTATTATACGTATAAATGTCTGACTTATTGTACACAGGGTTACTCAGTAAATATCTGTCCCCTTTCTCTATCTTCCTCTGAAAGCCAATAATATTTGTTGCTAGTATACTTTTTACACTTGATTTCTACTATCTTGATTCATTGTTTTCTATTTTATATGTCCCGCATTCCTGTCTATTTTAAATGCCTTTTGGCCTCATTTAATGTAAGAAACATTCCATTCCCTCAGAGCTATATGATCATGGTAACAGTGATGAAGATAGTGCTGAAATATATACTTTTATTCTTTGAAACCCCATGCCCTACCCATAGAGCTGTTTGATAATGATGATAGTGATGAAGGTATTGTTAAAGTAGACATTTTCTCTCATACCTATATATTTAAGATTTTCTGAATATCACCAAGAAAGAAATTCAAATAGAAGTTGGCTTCCAGGAAATCACACTATTTTGATTTTTCTCCTACATCAATGGCCTCTCCTTCCTAGTCTGCTTTTCCAGTTCTGCCTTATCTCTTCAACCCCTAATACCAGAGTTCTTCAGGGCTTATTCCTGGAACCAGTTCTCTATCCATCTTCCTCTTTTGGTGCTCTCATGCACTTCCGTGGCTTTAAATTTTATCCATATGCTGACGACACCCACATTTATTTCTTGAGCTTGGACCTCTCCCCAGAAATCCAGAGTGGTATAGCCAATACCTGTTTGACATTCTTATTTGTATGTCTCCTAAGGATTTCAAACCCAACTAGTCTAAAACTGAATTCCTGATCTTCCCTCCTGACCTGCTTCTCCCTCGGCCTTCCCTGTCTCAGTAAATGGCATCTCCATTTTTGTAGTTGCTTAGGCCAGAAACCTTGTAGACGTCTTTGATTTCCCATATCCACTACATCAGCAAATCCGTCAATTGCATCTCAAAACAATACTTTCTAAAACTGGACGATTTTTAATACTTCCTCTCCAGGTCCAGGCTACTATCACTTCTTTCCTGGATTATTGCATTTGCCTCCCAATTGGTGTCCTCTGCTTCTGTGCAAGGGATTTTCAACCTCAGCACTGTTGATGATATAACAGATAATTATCTTTGGGGTGGGGGCTGTTCCATGCATTGTTGGATGTTTAGCCGCATATCTGCCCTCTGCCTACCAGATGCTAGTATCATTTATCCCTGTTATGATAACCAAAAATGGCTCCAGACATTGCCAGGTGTCCACTGGGGGGCAAGATCATCCCTGATCTAGAACCACTGCTCTAAATCTGATCCCCACGTTACCTCTTTACTATATCTCCTGTTATTCCCCCTTCACTCACTCCTTTCTAGCCACACTGCCTCCTTTCTACTTCTCCAACACTCTGGACATTCTCTTCCTTAGGATCTTTGCAAATGCTTTCCCTCTGCATGGAATAACCATATGGCTCACTCCCTCATTTTCTTCCCTTCTTTGCCCAAATGTCTTCTCAGTGAGGCCGCCTTTGAACCCCAAATTTAAAACTATCAATACCTGCCTTCCATTTCTTACACACCATTTCTCCTTTGCCTGCTCTGTTTTTCAGATTTACTTATTTATTGTCTCTCTTCTCCAATTAGAATGTAAACTTCGTTGGTGATAAGTTTTATTTGTCCTATTTGTTGCTCTTTTCCCAGCATCTAACACACTACCTGACACATGATAGATGCTCAGTATTTACTGAATGAATGAAAAGAGTGAATGAAGAAAATCTCTGAAGTAATAGGAATATTAAAAAGATTTTTTTGTTTTATTGATAGCTCAGGAGCTAGTCAATGACTGGTTAGACACCAAACTTAAGCAAGAACTAGCAAGTGATGGTGAAGATGGTGCGGAAGACACTGTGTCAAATATCCTTCCTGTGCCAGAAGCCAGTGATCATTTGAAATATGACAAGTTTGATGGTAAGAACTTGTCTGATTGTTCTAAGCTTTAACATCTAATGAATGTATCTAAGAAGTCTTTTTAATTATTTTAAATAATAAATGATACATTATTTGACTTTTCTGTGATTTGCTTAGTTTTATAATTGGCTTTAATTTTTCTTGGTTCAATTTAAATTACTTATCTGTATCCTCAGTATGTTCATGGTGTTTTTTAAATTAAAATATTCTATTTGTAATTCTTCTTATGATTATAATAGCAATTAATGCTCTTTGAGTGTCTCTTCCCATGTATTGTTGGATGACTCTTTACTTTGATGGGGCTACATTTAAACATTTTATATTTGTAAAAGAGTTTACTACTTGTACACACAACTAGTGAGTGAGGGTTCCTCGAATGTACTCAGAATTTGGTATTTTTTTTCCTCAGCATAAAGATAGGCCTGGTGATGGTGGTGGGCAGCAGCTCCTCATGTGTGACTCACACACCCTTGGTAATCTCACCTGGTAGCATTCCCCTTGTTTAGGACTCTACAAAAATCTACAAAATCCCCAGCCCAGGAATCACAAAGTCCTGAGCTCTTAAAGTTAGAGAAATCCTTCCAGATCACCTAGTCTGATCTCCCTGCTTCACCCCCTCCGAGAGAGATCCTTCTGTAGTATCCCTCACATGGGGTGATATACTCTCTGCCAGCACATCTCCCAGGATAGGAGGAGCCCATTCACTTGTTGTGGGGCTCTAATCCTCATACATTTTTCTCTCAGGAGAATTAGGAGTTTGACCTCTGTAACCCTTTAGTAAAAGAGAAGATAATACCATGTTCCCTTTCCCAAGAAAAGTAGTATTGTTGTTGTTTTTTGCACGTGATATAATCATATCTGATCTCTCATATACTTCAATGTTGCTAGCTTAAATATACCAATTCTCACAGTAGTTCTTTATATCACATTGTTTCTAAATCTTATCATGCTGGTTGCCTCCTTCTGGATGTTTTCTAATTTATTAATGTCATTATTAAAGTGAGGCATTTCCATACTTCATATTTATTCTGAAACATATACGGAATATAGTGAAACTATGACTCCTTTTATATGGTGCTAATAGATCTAGTTATATTTCTTTACTTAGATTGGCAGTTATCATCTAGTATCATACCAGGCCTCATTCATCTTATGCTTGTAGAGTTTTTTGTTTTATTTCCTTTTTTTTTTTGATTGCAACATTCCTATTATGTAGCCATTTAAAAAGGATGATTACCAAAAATACTGATTAATGGGATTATCTCAGTAGACTCAGAAAAAGTACTTGACAAAATCTTACATCCATTCCTGATAAAAATGCTCAGCAAACTAGTAACAGAAGGTAAATTTCTCAACCTGACAAAGGGCATTTACAGAAGACATGCAGAAAACAAATACCAAAATGACAAACATAGGCTATACATTATCAGGAATTACATCTAATGTAAATGGATTAAATAGTCCAATTAAAAAACAAAGATTGGCAGAATGATTTTTAAAATATGACATAATTATATGCTATCCACAGGAGACACAATTTAGATTCAAAGACACGAATAGATTGAAAGTAAAAAGATGGGAAAAGCTATACCATGCAATCAGTAACCAAAAGAAAGTGAGAGCAGCTTACTAATTCAGGAAAAAAATAGACTGTAACATAAAAAATTGTTACTAGGGACCAAGAAGGGCATTTTATAATGATAAAGGGTCAGCCATCAAGAACACATAACAAGTATAAACATACGTACACCTAACAAAAGAGCCCCAAAACAGGGGCGCCTGGGTGGCTCAGTTGGGTAAGCATCTGCCTTCAACTCGGGTCACGATTTTGGGGTCCTGGGATCAAGCACTGCATCGGGCTCCCTGCTCAACGACGAGGCTGCTTCTCTCTCTCTGCCCCTCCCCCTGCTCATGTTCTCTCTCTCTCTCTCTCTCAAATAAATAAAATCTTTAAAAAAAAAAAAAAAAAGCCCTAAAATACACGAAGCAAAAACTGACAAAGTCGAAGGGAAAAATAGGTAATTGTACAATTCTCCAAATTATTTGGAGACCTTATACCCCATTTTCAATGATGTATGGAACTAAACATCAACAAGGAAGACATTCCTATCATTAGTCATTGAGAAAATGCAAATTAAAACTACCTTGAGTAACCACTACATACCTATCAAAATGGCTTATATCCAAAGACTGACCATACTAAGTATTGGTGAGGATGTAGAGGAACCAGAACACTCCAATACTGCTGGTGAGAATATAAAATTTTGTGACCACTTTGGAAAACTGACAGTTTTTTAAAAAGTTAAACAGATACTTCTAAGATCAAGCCATTCCACTCCTAGGCATTTTTCCAAGAGAAAAGAAAGCATATGTTCATACAAAAACTTGTACACAAATGTTTATAACAACTTTATTTGTCATAGCCAAAATCTGGAAACAGCCCAAATGTCTATCCATGAATGAATGAACAAATTATGGTATACCCATACAGTGGAATACTAATCAGCAATAAAAAGTGATAAACTGTTGATACAACAACATGATGAATTTCAGAAATAATCATGCTGAGTAAAAGAAGCCTGACCAAAAAAAAGTACATAGTGTATGATTTAATTGATAAGAAATTCTAGAAAATGTAAATTAATTTATCCTGAGAGAAAGCAGGTCTGTGGTTGCCTGGGATAAGACCAGGAACATGGGGAGGAGTGGGAGGAAGAGATTGCAAATCAGCTTGAGGACCCTTTTGGAGCTGACAGACATGTTCTTTATCTTGATTATAGTGATGGTTTTACTGGTAGATGTGTATGTCAAAACTTATGGTAGACTTTAAATATTTACAGTGTATTGTATGTCAGTTATACCTCAATAAAGCCATTTAAAAAAAACAATGGAGTCTTCAAGGATGTTTAGACTGAAGTAGTATCTTTTACATTTGGCAGTGAAGGAGTCTTTCGTGACTTGGGTGATGATAATTCCTCATGAGTGGAATTTTCTTTCCTCTCAGTTGAAGGTAGTTAATTGCTGAGGGCTATACTCATCCAATTGGCATTATCAGTTACTATTTATTGAACACTCACAGCTTAGTATTTTTATTGTACCAAGATTATTTATATAAATATGGAAATTGTACTAAATTTTTTTTTAATTTTCCCTTTTTTTGTTGTTGCTCTGTCTCCCCCAGAGTTGTGTGGCTATTTGGAGGAAGAAGAGGAAAGTACCACCGTTCAAAAATTTATAGACCATCTGCTCCATAAAAAAGTGGTGGATTCTGGAATGTTGGAAGATCTTGGAATGAATGGAAACCAAGACAAGCAGCAGCAGAAGGATCCTCGTCTTACCATGGAGATGAGACATAAGCAGGTGGGAGGGAAAAACAAAATTAAAATGGGTAACAGGAAGCAATCTTTGTGTAGCACATTTAATAAGCTTAAATAAAGACTTAGGCTTTATTATGAAAAAGAGTGCCATCTGTGGTTTGGTTAGAAAGAATAAAAATAAAATATAAGAACTTCAGAAGAAAAATAATGCTCATAAACTGAGGACAGGAAACAGTTTATTTAAAAAAACCAAAAAAAGGAATAATTGATTTTGAACAATGGAGTGGTGAACTATATTAGTTTGTATATGGTACTATTATAAATATGTAGATTGGTTTTTGCTTGAATTTGATTTTTGAACTGTGACACCAAAATATTAATATCATGAATATTCTAGTGAATGTTATAATGATAATTCTTTTCCAGACAACTGAAAAATTCACTCATTTTGTGATTATAATTTGAAAGGGAGGACAGATCTGAATTAAATCTAGTTCAGCTGTTTTGAATTAGAAAGGCATATGGGAACTTTCCTTTCTTCAGAGGGAATAAATAGTGGGTTATAGGAAAAAGATGCGTCTCAATTCTTTGTAGGGGAGCTTCAGGAAATCAGAATGACCAAGTCTTTTCCACATGTCCAGAACTAAGACTGAACTAGAATGAATGTCTATACATTGTATGTTGTTTTTTTATAACCCTGAATTTCTGATTGCTTTAAAGCATTAAGGTGTGCCTAATCAGCACTAAGGGTGTTAGAAAAAGGGGTAGAAGTATGATCCTAGTTTGGGTTTGATAAAAGGGAGGAGAGAAGTTTCAATAAGAGATTGCCAATATCTAGAAGTCTTATAAGTAAAGAATAAGGTCAGTGAAGAGGGAGGTAGAGGAGCACTCCTTAATTCATAGCTAGAAGAGCCTCTAAAGAATTAATGGGTTTGAAAAACTGATTGTGCTTATTCAGAATATCATGGTTTTGATTTCCAAATATGAGCCAGAATCATTGATACATTTAAATAACGATCAAAGTGAATAGTGTTGTGTTCCTCAGGCAGTAAATCACTGTTGTATCTTTCACGATGTAGCCTATATCCATATTCTTTCTTAAATGGCGTGCACAGAGGGCCTAAATAAACAGCAGTAGTATACACCTTGGAAAATTTTAGGGGTGGGATATCATTACTAAGTAAGAATCCAGAACTTGGCGTCTGACCCAGTAAATTTTCAACTTTCCATTGTGCAGATCATTCCCAGAGTGCTGGGAGTCCTCTGACCTGACTTCATCTAGACTTCTGTATTGGCTCCTACCCAAGTAAACAAATGAATTCTTCCTATTCTTCCAGTGAACAGTGAGCTTCTGGGCCAGAATGTTTCAAACTGGGCATATTGTGAACTTGAAAATGTATTCTAAGCTTTTGCGTATCCTTTTCTACTTGAAAGGCTGCATCCCACCCTCACTGTGTTCTCTTTAAGGTAAAAGAAAATCGCATGAGACGTGAGAAAGAACTGGAGCGCCAGAGAATGGAAAAGGCCCTGAAAAAATCGGTCTTCTTAGAGGCTCAGTATTTGGTGCAGGAAGAGAAGAAAAAGAAGGCTCTGGAGGCCAAGAAAGAGGAGGAGGAGATTCAAAGGGAGATGGTAAAGCTGCGGAGGGAGATAATTGAGAGGAGACGAACTGTGGAAGAAGCATGGAAAATGTAAGCCAGCCGTGGTGAGCGGTGTGAAGTTTTTTTTGTCTAAGCAGTCATTTTGGAAGTTTAAAAACATGGACATTGTGATAATAAAACACAAAGAAGAAATCACCCACGATTCCATGATCTTAACAAATGAACTGTTTATGTTTTTCTGTTTCCTCTGGGTCTTGATCCCTTTACATACTTAATTGCAATCATAAAGTACATTTATTTTGCTTGTTTTAGTTAACACATTGCCCAGAGTCCTGAGGTCTGTGTATTATTACTCCATTGAGTTCCTAGACTGTAATTTATGTAATGAGCTTCCCCTGATCTGATAAGCATTTCAACTATTTCAGGTTTTTCACCATATAATAATGCAGTGAGCTCCCTTAAGCATAGAGCTTTCTACAGTCTTAGGCATGTAATTACTGAGTTAAATGGTATAGGCCTTTGATGACTCTTGAAACATTGGCAAATTGCTTTCTAAATGGGTTGTACTTACTTACACTATTGGCTGGCAGTGGACCAGGTTACCACACTCTTTTTAGCATTGGGAAGTACTATCATTTTCAATACTTTTGCACTTTTAATAGGTATTATGTTGGTTAGTTTGCATTTCTTTGGTTACCTGAACATTGTTAAAATTGTTTGCTAATTGTGCCTCAGCCTATGTGAAGGGTGTGAGTGTCTTATCTTCTGATAATCATACAGAGTCATCATTGCCTTCCAACCACTGATAAAGAACAGGAATATTTGACCTAAAAGGAAAATCAAAATAGTCCTCACAGGATGTAGTACTGTTATATATCCTCATGCAGAAAATGAGCTTCTAAATGAAATAACTAATGTATTCATTCTGAGAAACAGCACTGGTGCATGAACTGCAAAAAGCCTTGGAGTAACGTGCCTGAAGTGACTGAATACTCATACTCGGAGGCCTGTAAGACCTATTCGATAATCCCTCCAGCCCCCATCAGCCTACACAGCTTTTCCCCCTGTGTTCCTGATTGCTCTTATTCTACCCAATTTAAAACAGCTCGGCAGTGGACGAGTGCTTTGCTCTTTCAAGTGCCAGCCTCAGGCCTCCTCCAGACACCATTCCTTTTAGAAAGCAATCACCAGTTTTTAGTGAGTTCTTGCTAAGGTCAACCTTACTTTTAGATTGCTTTTAAACCCTGAAAAATCTAGGCTGACCTAAAATAAATTGTGAAAACAAGTAACATTTGATGGGAGCGGGATGCTCTGTTCATAGTGGGCACTCAACAGATGCCCACTGACCACTCGTTAAAATCTTATCCATGGTTACAGTGATTCAGGTAACATGCTATACTGCTAGCAGATGAACTGATTTAAATGTTCCAGAAGGCAATTTGGCAATAAACAACAGGAGCCATAAAAATGGTATTACCGCTTGACCTGGAAATTCCAGTGTTAGGAAAACACCCCTAAGAAAATGATCAGAAATCCAAAGATTTGTGCACAAAGATAATATTATTTATAATGGGCATTAATAAATACTGGAGAAATTAATGAAAATGGTTGTACAATGAGGCAGCACTGACATGTTGTCAGTGTTTTTTTCTGGGTGGAAATATGGATGGCTTTTATATCCAATTTTTCACAATAAGCGGCTATCCCTTTTATAACAGATACATATTTTAATGTTATTTGAAAATCAGATCCATGGTATTAGAACTGTATTTCTTTAAATGGCCACTGTGGTCGGCCTATAACTGTCTAATATAACACTGTTATGGCATTTGGATAGAGTCAGTAAAATTTTATTATTGATAGAGTTTTTAATTTATTTGTAAGCTATCCTAAATCTGCTTTATTGCATAGTTTCAAAATATCTCCTCTAAGAGATTTATTAATTATTAATTAATTAAGGCAAAAATGGCAACTTCATACTGGAGAGGTCCCCTTAGCCAAGTGATGGTTAACATCACCAATAATAAGATATAACACTGTGTGTCCTCTGTATGTATATGAGAATTAATGAGAATGTCTATAGAGTATCCTGGCATCCCTTTCAACTTGAGTTTCCACAACTATAAAGTGAAATTCAGAAAGATAAGGTGACTTGTGTGAGTTTTCACAGCTGGTTTGTGGCCAGAGCCCATGAATCCTGATTCCTGACTATTTCTACTGTGTCATTGGTAGTATATATACCTCCCACACATACACATACATATACTTTAGTACACTCCAGTAAGAAGGCAGTGACTGTGAACGTGCTTGAATTGGCATGTGGAAGAGGGATGACCTGGATGAGAACGGATATGTGGGTGGGACAGCGGATGCCCAGAGAGATGAGCAACAAAGTTACAGAGCGATTCCTGTCACTTGCCTGAAAGTTTTTTCCTTATTGTTATTAAGTTCTATTTTTTCTCTTTTCAGCTATTTTAGAATTAATATAAATTTCACTCGTTATATAAGAATACCTGATTCTTTTATTATTTTTCTCCCTAGAAGCCTTGTAAAAGCCTTGGGGTAAAAATCTCATCCCTCTCTTACCTGAGGGTCCTTTTTTTTTTTGTCTCTCCCTTAGAAGAAAAGAGAGAGCTTATGTCTACATATTGTTAACTCTCAAATTTTGATCAAAGTATCCCTCGATGATAAACTCAATAAAAATACTTTACCAAAATATTTATAGGGCTTTCTACTTTTCAGAGTATAACAGTCTCTTATTTAATCTATATTTTATAAAGGAGTAAACTAAGGCTTAAAAAAAAAATCACCCTACAATGTAGTTTTAGAACCAAATCTAAAAATCTGTCTTCTGGGGGCGCCTAGGTGGCTCAGTTGTTAAGCGTCTACCTTCGGCTCAGGTCATGATCCCAGGGTCCTGGGATCAAGCCCTACATCGGGCTCTCTGCTCCGCAGGAAGCCTGCTTCTCCCTCTCCCACTCTCCCTGCTTGTGTTCCCTCTCTTGCTCTGTCTCTCTCTGTCAAATAAATAAATAAAATCTTTTAAAAAAATAAAAAATAAATAAAAATCTGTCTTCTCATGGAAAATTCAGTGTTCATTCCTCTATAGTAGGTTGTAATTACCCATCATTAATTCTGTTGTTCATACATGTATTTTTTAAAATTGTTAACAGAGAGAGGAAAAAGCAGGAAGAAAATTCTCCCAAAAATACAGAAAAAGGCATGGTTCAGAGTGATTATATTCTTCTGGGTGAAGAAAAAGTGGCAAAAGAAAGAAAGAAGAAACTGAGAGAGTTATTAATCCAAACTTTCAAGGAAAATCATCAGGTGGGAATTATAACTTCTCTTTTTTCAGCATTCTGTGGTGTAAATGACAGAGGGCTCCATCAGAGATGGGCCAGTGTCACACTAAGCCCAACTGAGCCTCATCGCAAATACCAAAATGCCCACACCGTTGGTTCTATGCTGCCCACCTGGCCTAGGGCATGGGGTCGTGCTCCAGTCCGCTGTCCAGGGGCTATTCTTATAGATACTTTGTGTGATCTTGGGAAATTGGTGTGAATTTAGGGTAGCTTCCTAAATTACTCTTTTCAGAATAGCATGTAACTACTAATGTAGATCTCTGGTAGGTTTTGAAAGCTTGGCTACCACAGTCTTCTGGATTATTCAGAAGAATTACTCAGAAAAGTTACTTGCCTTCTAGGAGCTAAGATCTTAAAGCAATGATACACTTCTCCTTTTCATGGTCTGCATTTTATTTTACTCTTCCTCTCTTTTACTTTTTGTAAAAAACAAAACCAAACAACAACAAAAAAACTAGTCTATTTTTATTGACAAATGAGCATCCTTTCCAGGCCATTTTAGCAGAAGTTTCTTTCAGTGAAGTGGGATTGACAGCAGTATGCATTTGGAATTTATAACATTTCAGGTAAAAGGGATTAGTTGGAAGATATGTAAAGTGAGAAGGTTGGATGAGAAAAGATAAATATGATATTTTATATTTCTTGTAACACCCACCCAGAGCCTTAGGCTTCGCTGAAATTCAGTGAAAGTGAAGTGAATGCAGGAATGCACAGATTTAACAAGAGAAAAGACAATGTCAAGATGATATTGAGGGAGCTTGATAAATATAGGATAGACTTACAGAAGCCCTGGAAATCAGTATCAGGAATTTGAATATAATATTGATAACTGGGATATGAGCAAGAAAGTAATGTAATCTAAACAACATAAAAAGAGACATGGGGCGCCTAGGTGGCTCAGTTGCTTAAGCGTCTGCCTTTGGCTTAGGTCATGATCTCAGGGTCCTGGGATTGAGCCCCGTGTCAGGCTCCCTGCTCAGCGGGGAGTCTGCTTCTCCCTCTCCCTCGTGCTCTCCCTCTCCCTCATGCTCTCCCTCTCAAATCTTAAAAAAACAGAGATATGTTTGATAGAGGTATTTTGGACTGATGGGCAAGAAGTCATAATTATTGAGATATAAAACAACAAAAGCTTTGGTCAGAGTTTTGGCTTTAGGAATAGTGAGGGAAGAGTTAGCAGGAGGAAATGTTAAGAGTTGACATTAACATTTTGAGAAAGATTGGCAAGGACTCAGATGTTGTATCCTTCACAAGACAGATAGAATTCGTGTGTCCTACAATAACAGTTCAGATTTCTGAAGGAAAATGGGAAAGGAGATGAATACTCAGGGGGCCATCTAGAGAAGGAGTGAGGAAAACGTGCCATGTTATGTCACCCATCCAATGAGAGATGAATAAGACATGTGTTTTCTAGAAACTTAATTTTTAAATTCACTGTACAGGAAGAAATAATACATGTTTTAGGTAGAAGTGGCTAGCTATGAATTTTAGACACTTGTGAAGAGTTTTACAAAATTAGTGGTCCACCTAAAACCGATTACTCAGTTTTAAAAAGAACAACCAGTGTAACTTAAAAATGTGAGATTATGAATAAATTATCTCCACTCCTCACAGATTCTGCTTGATCTAAACCTATACTATATTGTTAAGTTCTTATTTTGAAATAATTTTAGACATACAGAAAAATTGCCGAAACAGGACACAGAATACCTGAATTCCCTTCATGCAGCTTTCCCCAATGTTAACATCTTATGTAAATGTAGCATAATTATCAAAACTAGGAAATTAACCTTGGTACAATACCATCAAATACCATTAACTAAACTATACACCTTATTAGAATGTCACCAGTTTTTCCACTAATGTCCTTTTTCTATTCCAGTACTTAGCCCATGATTCTACATTAGAGAATGCCTAGGAATAATAAAATAAAATAAATTAAAAAAAAAAAAAGAGAATGCCTGGGAGTATATATGTAGGACTCAGTCCATAATTCTGTCTCATATAGCTGTCATGTCTCCTTTGCCTCTTCCAGCTTTATGACAGCTCCTCAGTCTTTCCTTCTCTTTTATGGCCTTGACAATTTTTTAAGGGTACTGATCAGGTATTTTGTAGACTGTCTCTTAGCTTTCTGAAAACATTGGGTTTTCTGATATTTTCTCCTGCTTAGATTGAGATTATGCATTTTGGCAACTTTACTACAAGAAGTGACGCTGTGCCCTTCTTAGGATCATGCTGGGGGTACACAATGTTAGTATGCTGGGTTTCTGTAAAGTTGCTTTTATTTTTTATTATTAAGATTTTATTTATTTGTCAGAGAGAGAGAGAGAGAGTGAGCAGCAAGCCGATAGAGAAGCCGGTTCCCCACTGAATAAGGAGCCCAATGTACTACTCGATTCCAGGACCCTGGGATCATGACCAGAGCCAAGGCAGACGCTTAACCGTCAGAGCCACCCAGGCGCCCTATTTTTTTATTTTTTTGAGAGAGATCAAGCATGAGCGAGAGTGAGTGGGGGGGAGGGGGAGAGGGAGACAGAGAATCTCAAGCAGGCTCCATTACCAGTGCAGAGCCTGATGCAGGGCTCGATCTCAACAACCCTGAAATCATGACCTGAGCCTAAACCAAGAGTCGGATGCTTAACTGACTGAGCCACCCAGGTGCCCCCGTACTGTAAAGTTACTATATCTCCTTTGGAATGTCTTAGAGAAGATATAGTAAAATTATGCAAATATCCTGTTTCTCCTTAAACTTTCACTTATTAATTTTAATATCCATTGGTAGGTCTTGCCTGTAACATTAAATGTATTTGTCTAATGATGATTTTGTATTTCCCTCATTTCTTCTCCATTTATTAATTGAAATTCTTCTAGAAAGAAAACCTGTCCTTTCTCCCCATTTATTTATTCAATTATGTCCTTTTATCAGCATGGGCTCATGGGTATTTATTTTATTTTGTGGGTGATTATTATTGTTTACTCCATTACTCAAATTGTTCTGACTTTGGCCATTGGGAAGTCTTTCAGGTTGACTTCTTTGTTCTTTCAAAATGCTTCCATCCTTTTTTGAGCACTTCCTTTCTTTCTGGCACTGTAGGATATTCCAGGCCCATCTTGTATTTTCCCTGTTCTAGCCCTGGAATCAACCACTTCTATACGGAACTCTGGTTTCTTTATTGGAGAATAGTATTTAGAAACCCAAATATGAATACTGGGTGCTATTACTGCTACTGGGGTGTCATTACTCAGCAGACAGAGCTGGGAAATGTGTGTATACTAACCTACACATATATACACATTATATGTATTTCTGTGTTTGTCTATCTGTAGACATATTAAAATCTGTGAGTTCATACTGATACCTCGAATTCCACTGCAGTAACACAGGGGTCATGGTATCCTTTGCTCTTCATTATTTATAACTTCTTTCTATAACTATCTGTATGTTTATTAAAATAATCATGAGTTCATAATGATGCCTTCAACCCTAATCCAGCACCACACGTTTCAGTGTACCCTTTCCCCCTTGCTTATTTATAATTCCTTTCTCTGGCAGTGAGAAATCTGGCACTCATTACCCAAAATATATTTACTTATTTAATCCTGCTATACTGTAAAAGTAGTTTCAGAATTGCTAACCCATACTGCTATGTAAACAAATTCTCTAACCAGAGTACAATATTTGTACATTATTTTCATTTTCAGTCACATTCAGCCAGAATATTATTACTTAGGTTATAGGTTAGGTTCTGTTCTTCCCCTTCCATTTCAGTCTGATTATGTTATTTATTTGCAACATGGCTAGTGAACCTGTAATTATTATTTCCCCCATGTATATGAGTGTAACTGAGACATGGGGAAAATCCCCCTACCAGACTCCTCAGGCTTTTACGTAGACTTGGCTGGAGACAGGACAGTCCTCTGGTAAATGCCACGGAGTAGCAGACCCCCTGGGCTCATTACCTTGGCCCCAGTCCACATTCCTAGCCTGGTTCTAAAGGAGCCTAAAGCTGCCCTTGGGTAATGAAACTTGAACACTCAGCAGCCTAAATATTACCACAGGATAAAAAGGGGGAAAATGCCTAGCTGGCTTGCAGTGAGTGGCTAGAAAACAGGAAACTCTTGTCAGCACCCTCAAAATGGTTCACTGGCACAAGCCCAACAGCAAGCTATATGGAGTATCTGTAGGAAGACTTTAAAGAATCTGTTTCTAGGAGGAGTTCCAGTTCAAGCTCCTTTAATTCTTGTAATTCTCTGTGCTTTGACTCTGGATTGTATTTGTTCCCCCAAACAGTCTCTTTTATCATCACATGTGGGTCCAGTTATTCAATAGGAGACTTTCTGAGAGAAACAGAGCCGGCCCTCTTATCCAAACAGAGGTTCAGGTGCAGTGCTGTGCATGCATCTTCCCCACATATTTCATTGCCTGGTCTCTTTGTTATATCAAAAACATCTCTTTCTGTATAGAAACTTTCTACTTCCGTTTTCCATCCTATTTTCTCTTTGATCTTGCTGTGAAATCTCTTGGGGAGATACAGCAATCCTCATATCATTGCTAATTAGCAGAAACAACAAGGGATTAACTGTGAAACTCTTATACTGTTTGGGAAATGGCCTTCTTAACTCTCACCCTGTTCTGAAATACATTTTCTGTTTTCTTAAGAAGATAAGAAAGTCTGTGATCTTTGCTGCTTGTGAAAGTTGAAGAGAACAATGAAAGATGAGTCGATACTAGCTTAATTCTGTGCGGGAAGTTTTGGTTTGCTTGTTTGGTTGGGTTTTTCTGTTAGAGAGTAAGATAATAGTGACCCAAAGGAATCATTGTTAATGTTGCGCTTACGGCATAGCAGCTTCCAAAAGGCCACCCCAAACTAAACCAGGGGAACATGGAGATATATGGAAAAGAAGCCTGGATTTTCCTGACAAGATGATGAAAACTGTAGTTAAGTACCTCATTTATATAGCACGATT